TAAGATTCTTGGTTGGCCTCTATTTTCTTTCAGAGCTTGGTATATGTTGTTTCATGATCTCCTGGCTTTGAGGGTCTGGGTTGAAAAATCTGCTGAGATATAATTTGGTCTCCCCCTATATGTAATCTGATTCCTCTCTCTTGCAGGCCTTTAAGATTCTGTGTTTATTCTGTATAATAAGCATTTTCATTATAATGTGCCTTGGTGTAGATCTGTTGTAATTTTGTACATTTGGTGTCCTGTAAGCTCTTGTATTTGATTTTCCAATTCATTCTTCATGTTTGGGAAATTTTCTGATATTATCTCATGGAAGAGATTGTGCATTCCTTTGGTTTGAAACTCTGTGCCTTCCTCTATCCCAATAACTCTTAGATTTGTTTTGTTTTTTTTTTTTTTTGATGCTGTCCCCAAATTCTTGGATGTTCTATTCATGGTTGCTTACTATCTTCACTGTGTGGTCAACTTTATTTTCCAGATTGTACACTTTGTCTTCATTATCTGACGTTCTGTATTCCAAATGATCTAGTCTGTTGGTGATGTTTTCTTTTGAGTTTTTTATTTGGTTTATTGTTTCCTTTATTTAAAGGATTTCTGATTGGTTTTTTTTTTCAGAGTCTCCATCTCTTTCTTGCTACCTGTATTTGCTCTCTTATCTCTTTGTTGGAGTGATCAGTTTTTGCCTGTGTTTACTCATTTAGGTCATTCTTTAATATACAGATAATTTTATTATGAACATTCTGAACTCCTTCTCTGACATCTCATCAACTTCACTGTCCATGGGATCTGCTACTGTAGTATCCTTGTTTGTTTGGGGCACTTTCCTCCCTTGTTTTTTCATTTTGTCTATGTGTCTTTCTTTGTTGCAGTATGGATCTGAGATATTGTAGTTTCTATCCTATAATCTTGTAGTATCTGTGTAGATTATCTGTACCTCACCTTGATGCTGGGCTTCCAGACCCTGCAGGTATCCCACAATGGATACAATTGCAACTAACAGTGTTGACAGCAATAGGGAGGTAACTCGAGATAGCAATGGAGGTTTCCCCAAGATGGATATAAGGTCTTTCAAAGATGGGGCTGAAATGGTGGGCCTTACACTGGCTTTGGGATGCCTGCTCCAAGATTTCAGCTGCTTCTAGGTCCGTTTCTGCACAGGTAGGCAGAGGCAGATCTGGGCCAGGCCTGAGCTCTGGTAGGTGTCTACAAGTGGCCCCAGCCCCTCAACATTTTTACTGTTACTTTTATTCTTCTAACTAGAATGACCTATCATCAAAGAGTAGAATCCTAGAACTAAAATGACTTCATTAATTATTTACTAGGACTAATTTTACAACTTCCCCATGCAGTAGCCTCTACCTTTCGACAATAGACAGGAACTAGAAGCAGCTGAATCTTAGAGCAAGCATCTCAAAGCCAGTGAAAGGCCCACCATTTCAGCCCCATCTCTGTGTTTTTGGATTCACAGTTACTCTGTGGCTAACAGATCTAATTTGTGACATTCTCATACCTAGTTTCCACTATGTTGTTTTTCAATGATTAGGATCCAAAATCAAATGTTGATGGAGTTTTTAAAAATGTACTCAACAGACAGGTCCACATAGGCATCCAGTTTAAGTTGAAGTATCCTATGGTGTGGTTTTAATAGAGTGTCATACCCATTACCCCCAAGTCCTGTATATACAATGTGATGAAGTTTGTTGTATCTTGGTTCACAGATACATACTCAGAGTATAACACATACCAGGCTTTCTGTTAGGCATTCAATTATGTTTTAATGAATTAAACATATAGTAAATTTTGTCTAATTGTGTTGTCATGAAGGAGCTCTTTCATGATGTTTCCCTCAATGGATGATGTATTTTGGATGTATGGTATCTGATATTTGTATTTCTTGAAATTACTACCATAACTTCAGACATTCACTCGAATTGTTTCACCACTGCATATAAGATAAAGAACATTTAAATCCATAATTATTTTCTTCTGATTTAGCCCCCAAGTGGAATTACTGGGTCAAGGAGAATGAATATGTTCAAGATATTTTGTTCTACATTGACAAATTTCTTTCCAGAAGCCTAGTTCCCACTCAAACAATATCAGTGCTCATTTCATTAGTCTTTGGCCAAAAAGTGACTTGATATTTGCTTTATTGATTCATAGTGGTTATTTGCACCACACAACTCTTTTCCATATGCAAGACACTTTCCCCTAATGGGTTTGGCCTTTTGATTTTCATTTCATATTCAGAATACGTGAAATACTTTTAGTGCAAATGTCTTTCCTCTTTGGGGGTTTTAGCCATCCTTTCTTAATGGGAGAACCATCTTCCCTGTTGACTTCCTCAACAAAGCTCCCACTCTGGGACTGACCAGTGGGATCCCAGGGCCTAAGCAAAACTATTGTCACAGCTTTTTATGCTTCATTGTACTATGGAGCTGAAGGGGTTTGCAGGAGCAGTGTCCTGGGCTCCAACTGGTAGATCCACATAATAATATGAAACAGAGTGGCCAATTTCAAAAGGGGCAAAAATGATGCCAAAAAGGTTGAAGCAGGAACTTCAGGCACAGTTCATTTGCTGTGGGAAGATGAGGTTGGGGTATATTCCCTAAACCCGAGGTTGGCAACATGTTAGGAGTTGTCCCAAGTGCCCAAGGGAGTCCATCTTCTCCAGAAGTCTGAGGCTACTTGATTATAATTTCTTCTACTTATACTATGACTTTTGATTTCAAATTTAAAATATTAATTTGTTTGAATTTTCATATATAAAAATGTATTATTTTTCTATATCATTGGCTAGTTATCCTGTATAAATTTGTAAATATTTTTTTACTGGTTCTAGATCCTGTCTATTGTTGAAAGGTAGAGGCTACTGCATGGGGAATGTTGTAAAATTAGTCCTAGTAAATAATTAATGAAGTCATTTTAGTTCTAGGATTCTATTCTTTGATAGGTCATTTTGAAAAAACAATTTAATTAGATTTAGGTTTGCTTCTAGAATTGGGCAACACTTCATTCTATAAAATACAAGCATTCCCTCAATGACTTTTATTTGTTGGGATTTTAATGTTTTTGCTGGTATATGCTTCCAGTGAAACTCTAAAACCACTTTGTTTATTTCAGAAACACCTAAACACAGAAAAAGAAGGGGAAAAAAAGCTACAGAAATTGTTTGGAATGCAACACCTTTACAATATTTATTTCTTAGAAAAGAGTCATGTTTTTATAGTTAAGACTTGGTTGGATTTCATCTTCCTAAACACTGGTGAGATGCCTTTATATTTATTGAAATTATTCTTCAGTATGTTAGGTATTTTTTTTTGGGGGGGGGCATTGGTGGTGTATTGGTGAATGAGATCTTTCCAAGCCTCTCTTCTGGTTTGCTCTATACAAAAGCTGTGGTTTGTTTCCTTTATAGTGGGTCAATTTATTTCCTCCTGTCATTAATTTTGAGATCTTTTTAGTTTATTCATTTGAATTTTCCAGGTACACAATCATATCATGTATAAGTAATGGTAATTTCAGTCTCTTGACATTCTAATGTTGATTCTTTTAAAAAATTCATCTTATTTGCCTTAGCCAGAATTGCTAGTAAATATCAAATAGTAATGAGTTGTAACAAGCAATTTTTCTTAACTTCTTTAATTTTTTTAACATTTATTCTTGCATTCATTCAACACTTACCAAACACATTCAAACTGCTAGATTCTGTGCAAAGTGATGGGGATACAAGGCAAACAGGACATAATGCCTGTCCTCCAAGAATTTTAATTGAATTGTTTTTGACTTTGAACAAACTATGCTGAACAACATTAAATAACTAGTCCAGCGATTTTGTTCCCAAGAGCAGAGCCAGCCTTAGATAGCCAGGCTTCCCATTGTTTTTTTTTTTTTTTTTTTTTATACGTGACGTAGAATGTATTTTGACATATCATATGTGGAGTATAGAACTTCCCATTTTTGTGGTGGTACATGATGTGGAGTTACACTGGTCATGTATTCGTATATAAACATAGGAAAGTTATGTCCAATTCATTCTACCGTCTTTCCCATTCCCATTGATTTTAGATTTGTTATTAGTATTTGGTAAGATAATCATAAAACTCAGTTCCATTCATGTTCAGTTGAATCAAACTTGGTTGTGACAATTATTGTAAATTTCTATGATTATTCCACATCCTACAACGCAGCTAACTGTCAATGCCATTTACAATGTTTATTTCTTTAAACTGGTTTTGGTAGGCATATTCCCAGAGCCCCTGCCTGGATCACTCTATTACCTAAGATGATGTATCTACAGAGAAGAGAGATCATTTGTAGAAAGGGTAGATTGCGAGGAAAAGAATATTTGGAACCTGGGCATTTTAAAATCTCAGATATTCAGGTTAATATGATTATGGATGGATACTTTGTGCTGATGACCATTAGCTTAATTCAAGAAATAGTAGAGTGTGTACCTTCCTAAGGAGATTCTTTTCATCTGCTCTACCCTAAAGACAATTGAAAGGCATCAGGAAGGGAGCAGGCAGGGTGAGGACCACTGCCATCTTTGGTCCAGCAACACTGGCTACTGAAGCTGCCTCCAGTCTCCCTTGTGTCTCTCCATCAAACAGGACCCAAATATTCCTCTGAATGTCCATGCACTCATGCAGTCCAGGTACTCTGGCAATTCCAGCAAGGAAACCTCAAAAAGACACACTCCCATCAAAGTGGCAATAACTGGTTTTAAGGCTGCCATGCAATCTATATAGGGTGAGGCTATGGAAACCCGAACTCAGTTTACAATGTGTATAGAAGTGTCCTCTCCTTTCTGTGGATGATGTGATATGTGGATATGATCAGGGATGACTCCAGCAAATGTATCACCAAGAACAGAGGCAGGCTTAGAACAGAACTAACCCCACCCCCACCCCCCAAAAAAAACTAAAGGAAGAGATGAGGGGGAAAAGCCCTGTGTCTCAAGGCATTCTGCATTGCTGAACCAGATTACCTGAAACTAGGTATTCTATAAAGAACAGATTTATTTTCACAGTTCTGGATGCTGGAAAGTTCCAAATCAAGGTGCTTGTGTTTGGTGAAGGTTTTTCTTGAGGCATGTTCACATGGCAGAAGGTATAAGGGCAAAAGAAAGCCAAACCCTGCAAACCTTTTTGATAGGGACAGAAGCCTCATGATCTAAACATCTCACCCAAAGACCCCACCTCCCAACACAGTTGCAGTGGGAATTAAGTTTCTATTGGAGGAATATTGGAGGATACTTTCAAACCACAGCACCCTGGATTCTGGTTTGATGAGTCCAATCACCTGGAGCCCATCCTCCTCAGGACCTGCAGACAGTGAGCTATGCCTTCCCTTTCATTTTGACCAGAATAAAGTATGTTTTCTGGTACTTGTAATGAACCACACTGATTGGATAACTAGAAATTCTTCCCCAAATTTCACTGTCCTTTTGTTCTTTTTTCATTGCTGTACTTGGCAGTAGGTGTCCACATGAGCCAGAAGTCCTGATAACTTAATCAGATGCCCTGCTTATTTCTTAGCTTCATTACTGAGCAGAGTGGTCATGACATTAATGACTGTCTGACAAAGTTGAAATAAAGGGCTCAGAAAAGAATCCCCAGTAGATTTTTTTTATTTAAAGAATCTTTCCCCCTTCTTTTTCTCTTTTTAGAGGGACAGAAATAATGGCTCATCAGACAAATGCCTGAAGATAATTGCTCAAAACATCTAGCCTCTTGGCAGAAAGGGTTTGGATAGTGCTGATGGCCCTGGTCCAGGAAGCTGAGGTATAAGGAGCTGTGCAGTGACAGGGTAGTGTGTCTCTGAGCTGTTTTCTTCATAGTATCTAAAAGGAAGTTCCCTGCAGTATTCAGAACACACTCCATTAGGTCATATATTAATACTTCATATGACTGTGGTGACTGGACACATTGTCTTTGCAAAGTGAAGTTTGTTTATTGCTTGTGATGATCTTAACAGGCAAAATATTACATAGGGCTGTCATACCTACAAGATCTTTACAAAGTGCCTGCATTGAATTGAGCATCAGAATAAACTTCACACATGAGTTTTTCTTGAGTTCTCACTTTCCCCTTCATGGGTAAAGCAGAGCCACAGTCCTTCTGGGTTGGTAGAAATGGAAGCCAGTGGAGGGATATGTCTTGGGAGTTCACATGCCCTACCCTCTATCACCTCTCCTCACTGCCATCCATGTCCACACCTACCCAGGTTCACTGGGCTTAATCACAAGAGTGTACTCAGGGAAAGCAAGGGTCACGCATGTTGAAGAAAAAATAAGTCATATTGCCTTTTCTTACAAAATGAGATGAAAAAATAAATTCAAAGACACTTTTTAAGTGTCATTCTTCTTTCAACTTTATATATATATATATATATATATATTTATATGTTAAAGCTCTTTATTTTTCTTTTCAATATACTCTACTTAGAACTTTAAAAAATAAACTTTCTTTTTGGTACCTCTTGTTTCCTGTGTTAACCTTGGAAACATTTAAAAATATATCTCCCTAGAACTCTTCTGTGCAAATAATAAACATAAATAATATTAATATCTACGTTATATATATATATATATATATATATATAAGGCCATTTCAAGGTTTCACTGTGACTGTCTGCTGCTGTCCCTTGAAGGTGATCCTAGAAGTAGTCTGTGGCCTGTCCCTGTAAGCCATGTAAGTCCTGATCTGGCTGTGGGGGGCTGGGCAGGAACTCTCCATCCTGCTTGTCCATGTGTAAACTACTTCTGGAGAACTGGAAGACACTTCCCAGCCCACTGACCATTGAGAGGGAGGAGATCCAGTTGAGTGAACCGAAACTGGGCAGGTTGAAGAGGGACGATAGAGGGGGTTCCTGGCTTGTACTGGTGGGTTTCCTCTTGGAGTCCTCAGGACACGCTTCTAAAACAGCCTCCTCTGGCCTGGAGGATCCTGGGGCCTGAGCATCCAGTCCTTCCTGCATGGTGTCCTCTCTCAATGGCATACTTATGTCCACTGTGCTGAGCTCCCTGCTGGTCTTTAGGGAGCAGGATGGCTGCTGTGTGTTCTGAGAAGCTTCTGAGGCACAGTCCTTGGAGAGGGTTTCAGAGGGACTCATGGTCATCCCTTCCGAGAGCTCTGTTTTTGGGTCTCCAGGGAAATGTTTCTGAACTAAGATTTCTTTGGGAGTTTTGGGTTTCTTGAGAAATTTCTTGGCTGACTGGCGTGCCAGCTGAAGTTGGGTTGGGAAGAGGCTCCCCTGGAGAGCTTTGAAAAACAATCTGGAAAGAGCACATGAGAAAAAAAAAATCAGATACTGCTACAGGTACCTGTTTCCTGAGACTCTACTCACACAGGGGGAAATGCACAGCAATGCACATGCTCTGTGTACTCACTTAGGACTCAGAGACCCCATCTCTGATACCCACCTGGGCAGCAATGCAGTGATAGGTGCTATGAGGCAAATCAAGTAGAACACGGGGTCTCCCAGTAATGTGTGCATGGTCCAATAAGGGTTAGATGGAGGATAACATGTTGCACAAGAAGCATTGTAAATCAAAGCCACGGTGAAAAATAAAAAGATACTAAAGACACAAGCTGTCCAGTTGAGCCAGGTCTGAAGGAAAAACAGAGAGGGGTTTTATTTCAACTTAACAGTGGCAAATAAACCCCAACAGTCATCAGTGAGTGGAGGTGATGTTCTATAATCTTGGTAAAAGCTGGAGTCTTTGTCATGGGTGGCTGGTAGGGCTTAGTGAAGCCTCAGAAGCTTGTGGACCAGCCTGGGACAGGGGCATAGGGGCAAGATAAGAAAACAAGACAGTGAGGAATGTTCATAAGTGTGGGCAGTGGGCAGTCTGCTTAAAAAAAAAACCAAAAAAACTGTATCTCATGGAACCTGCCGGAAGTGTGGGGTCTGCAACATGAGGGCCCCTTTGGGATGTGACCATGTCTGCGACTCTTACCCAGGTTCTGGTTTCAATACCCAGGTGCAGCAGGAAAGTGAACAGTGCGATTGCTGTGATGGGAGTTCCCCAAGTAAACATGTCCACATCTGAGTCATAGTAGGCCTGAAAGACAGCAGTATCCCATGTCTGTGGGTCCCCAGATGCAGCTGATGGGGAAAACTATGCTGTGTGTCAACTTACCAGGTAAGGAATGAAAAAACAAACCAAGCTCTGGAAGGCAGCATCAACCATGTTTAACCAGAAGGCACGTGGCCGATATTCCTGGAACACAAAAACAAGCACGGAGATTATAGGGAAATGCTCATCTCTTCAAATGATGTTTTCTAGGATGCTGCAGCTCTGAATGCCAAGCACCAGACAAAAACTTGCTATTTAGGACTTTGGGAAGGTAAGGCTCTAGTTGGTAGATAGAACCCCATTACCCAAATGCTTGCAGAACTGTTTGTAGCTGAGTTGCTCACTGGGATCTTTTGTACCAAGAACACAAGCTATAGTAGTTACAGGTCAACAGTGAAAGAGGAAACTGATTTCTAAATCTTACTAAGGAACATTTCCCTCAAGTAGGAAGAACACTTGACATTCTGGGCATTTTCCCTGATTTGAACCCTTCCATCCCTTCCACTTTGTCAGGGTTTGGTGATGGGTCCCATAGGGTGTTACTTAAAGTACATCTTAAATTTTAAAACTAGATAATGGATGTGCCCCAATGTTAAAAAAAAAAAAAAAAAAAAAAAAACTCTTGTTCTGATTTAGCTATGATTTGATCAAGTTTGTAAAAAGTTTAGAGGGGGACCTTTGGGACATGATTAAGAACAGATAAAGACATCAGAGTGAATACTGATGGCTTTATAAAAAAAGGAGAGAGATCAGAAGAGACATAGCCACATATTTGCCCTCTGTCCCTTGCCATGTGATGCCATGCGCTGCTTCAGGTTTCTGCCAGCAACAAAGTCGTTACCAGATGCAGCGCTTCAACCCTGGACCTCTAATATTGTGAGTCAAATTAGTAGACTGCCTCGATATTTTGTTACAGTAGCATGAAGCAGACTTTTATACCCATGGGCCAAAATGATCTTGATATTGACAAATGGAATTTTCATTACCTGGGTGATCAAATTTATATTTAACCCACCTAAGTCCTCAAATACCTGGCATGGGCTCTGGCCTACAGGAAATGCAGAAAATCAGAAAGGAGCACATACTAGTACTTAAAAAAAGAGCTGGGTACACTCCTCCTATTGGTTACTTTACTCACAGGACAAACCTGCAGCATCTTTGCCCCATGGCTAGCCAAGGAGACTGAGGCCAGCTAAGGAGATAACTAGTACCAAACAGAAACCTCTTCATTTGCCTGATCCAGAACCTTGACAACACTGCCCAGCCTGTCAATGTGGAAATCAAATGACCACAGAGGTGGACAGGGGAAGTTAACTTGTAAGTTTTGTAAGTGAACGAACTCTGAATTAGAGATTATTGTATGATAAACGGGGTATGGCATTCTTTTTTTTAAACACACAGAGTGCAAACTTGCCAGAGAAGCACTTAGATGGTTTATTTGATGGCTGGCTGAGAATACCTGGTTGTTAGTGTGTCAATCATGTAGTGGTGTTGACGCAAACATATATTTACATCTGTTTATTCTTCCAATGGTTAAATGGTTTTCCCTATGGGTCTGTCTTCTTAATCTCATTGGATCATTTTTAAAACAAAAACAAAAAAAAAATTTTGGCATTCTTTAGAAAAAAATCCTATTTGAACCTCAGTCATTAGATTCAAAGATCTGGGATGGACTTTTCCTTGGGCTTTTGGAAAGAACTAGGGTGGAGATGAACTCAATATACATAATGCACACTATCGTTTGGATTTTGAACATTCCCAAAAGGTCGACATATTAAAAGCTTTATGCATGGTGGTACTACTGGGATGTTGTGGAATCTTTAGGAAGCTGGGCCTGAGAAGGAGGTTCTTAGGTCACTGGAGTGTGCCCTTTAAGGGATGGTGGGACTCTAAGTCTCTTTCTCTTTGTTTTCTGGCTTCTAATGTTTCCTCCACCATGTGCTCCCCACCATTGCTACATAGCACCCCCACTGAAAAGTAATGGTTATACTTTATCTTGGAACTGGAACCTCCAGACCCATGAGCTAAATAACCATTTTCTTCTATAAGTTAAATATCTCAGGTATTTTGTTATAGAAACTCAAAGCCAGTACAATGCACACTATGGGGTTCAAAGACAGCATCTGTTTTTATCCTTCCATAGGCTGGATTCTAGAGTTTTAACGATTTGTGCAAAGTGTCTACTTAAAGGGGACTTGCACTTTCTGGAAGGTGGACATAGAGGCAAAGGGCCAGGAGACTCAGGAAAGCTTACCTCCATATTCTGGCCACTCTTGTAGAGCTGTGGCTTCAAAAGCAGCACATGGGCTGGTACATCCTTGTCCAGCACCCCAGTCACAAGCTGGGGAAGTGACGAGAATAGTAGATTAAAGAAGATTAGATACCATTGGTCAATCATTGCTGATGCAGAGAAACCACAGTAAAACTGGAACCAAAACAGGAGGCCCACGAACATCTGCAATCCAGAAAGGAAAAATGACAACAGGCGATTCTCTAGTTCTCTTTACAGTTAAATTCTGCAGGATCCTTAGCTCCCTTAGATGGGAAACTGAAAAGATTAAATTGATAGGCAGCTATTCTTCCAAAGGCTGCCTAATCCTTGAGCCCTGATGTTGGTTTCTGCCTCTGACTGTCCCTCCTTCTCTTCCCCCAACCCTTCTCATTCCCTTAAACATAAGGGACTGGAAGCGGGAATTTAGAATTCTCAGGAGCAGTCCTGTGAGGAATGAAGAGCTGTATAGATCATTAGTATAAAACAAAATCAAGGTTTGACAGGGTAGTCTAGGGCTGCTTACATTTCAAGAGGGCTAATAAGCTGCCAACCTGTGGCTTCTACCCAGGACTCTCCTCTGTTCATGATCCAAACAGAACCTACATCTCTGATTTCATTTCCCTCTCTAGTCACATACCCTCTTGATGAGGAACAGTGGGCAATGATTGACAGAAATGAAACAGGAATCCCCCCCACCTCTGCAAACACCTCATCCACCTGCTCATACCTAGGAGCCTCTGTGTTTGCAACTGCTTATTTGAGGCCTCCCTGTGCTGGGGATTTAATTCCAGCAGGTAGGCAGAAAGGAGGAATGAACTAGCAAGGGCATGAACAGTATACCAGCTTTCCTTGGTTATAGTCCCAGGCAGACTTACTCTGAATTAATTTCCTGTACCATTTGGCACATATCATTTCATTGCTATGCTTCAGTTTCCTTGTCCACAACATGGATATAACCAATGATATTTAGCCATGGGATTGTTGTGAGTACTGAAGGACCTACAGCATTTTTAAAGCTCTCACCAAGGCCTGGCACACTGTAGATGCTCACCTGAGGCATGCTGTTATGTCAGTAGGATCACCATTTCCTTAGTTTGAGGCTCAAGCAGGGCTGGTGTTATGACCATTTACAGAAAAGGAAATGGAGCTTCCAAGAGGTGAAATAACTTGACCTTGGTCATTGTATGAGCAATAAACCCAACTTGTTCAACTTGGTTCAATGGGCAGAGATGGTCCCCAAAGAGAACATGGTACAGTGGAGGAACACTCTCTAGTGGGCACCACAAAGCCTAGGTTTGGTTCTGAAGCTGCAACTATTGACCCTTTTAACACTGACTCACTCACAGAGTAACCTCTCTGAGCTTTGGTTTCTTGACCTGAAAGTGGCTTTTTGCGAGATCAGGAGAAATTCTAGTCCATGTGGATGAAACATCTCCTCCAAGTCCTGTTTCCTTCTATGGTTGAAATTTCTTACTAGGTAACTTTCCCCTTCCATGCCAACAAGGGATAAATTAAGAACTTTTCATTGACTTTCTTCCTCCCACAGGTGACTCTCTTGCACTCACCCCCACAGGCTTAGCCTAATGAGTCATCCTCGAGCAAATGGAGTCAAGGAAAAGAGGAATAAAAGTACTTAGATAATTGAGTTTTTTTTTTTCCTGTACTACCAAAGAGCTTTGTTCACAAACCACTGTTACCATGGAAACACTTCTTCTTTGCTCTTTATTGGGAAGGAAGGCCAACTTATTCTTAAAACTAATGAATCTCTCATGATAGAAAGCAGAGTGATTTTACTTGAACTCCTCATGTAGACAAATGCTTGTTGACAAAAGCCCTTCATCTTATATGGAATAGAAACAGGTGCTATTTTGCCCTCCCTGGTCCTCCAACAAGGGCAGGTTCACCATGACAAGCAGGGGGTTTTGCCCATCCTAAGTGGCCACTCTGACTTTTGTTTGCATTTAAAATATTGAGTGGCTTGGCCTAAGTCTTTGTTGCTATTCTCTTAATCTGAGAAATTTTAATTGGGAATTAAACTGAGATTGCTAGCTGAATTCCCAAAATTCTCCCCCTCCCTGGGCCCCCAGAAAAAAACACCCAAAGAAGGCAACTACAGATGGTCCTGAACCTACCATGGTTCAACTTAGCATTTTTTTTTTTTTACTAAAATGATGAGAAAGCAATATGCCTTCAGGAGAAACCTAACCTTAAATTTTGAATTTGGATCTTTGCCTGGACTAGGAATACGTGGTCCTATCTTCTCAAAATGCTGGGCAGTGGCTTTGAGCTGGAGCTCCAATCAGCCATGAAATCACAGGAGGAAACAGCAAAAGCTCTGCAGTGTGCTGTGCAGCTAAGCTATGATGTTACGTAGGTTAGGAGTATTCAGTGTGTTTTCAAATTGGGATATTTTCAACTTGCAGTAAGTTTACTGGGAGAGTTACTCCATGATATGCTTAGGAGCATTTGCAACTTGCTATTGTTCCTACTGCTAGTGAGTGACAGAAATGAAGCAGGAACCCCCCACCCCCACCCCCGCAAACACCTCACCCACCTGCTCACACCTAGGAGCCTCTGTGTTTGCAACTGCTTCTTTGAGGTCTCACTGGGCTGGGATTCAATTCCAGCAGGTAGGCAGAAAGAAGAAATGAACTAGCAAGGGCAGGAATAGTATACCAGCTTTCCTTGGTTATAGTCCCAGGCAGAACTCTGAATTAATTTCCAGGCCCAAACCTATCCAATTAGACATGCCCTGATTGGTTCTGATCATCTGTATTCATTTGCTAGAAGACATTTTGAAAATCAGGAAAGAGTGAGTGGGTGGGAGAGGATGGGAATGGAAAGGTAGGCGTCAGCCTCCGGAACAAATCATTATAAACATGAACAAAGGGTATGCTGATGTCAATTTAAATTTAGCATGGAGATTTCAAATGGAATTAGAAAAATATATACTTTTTAACTTATTTTATTCTTTTTCAGAAGACTACAGGATAATCTTGACATTGGATTTTTGATGTCTAGACAGCTAGATTTTGTATCTACCCTGGAAGGTCATTTGTCCCAAGAGTTTGTTTAGTACTTGTTATACTGGGTGTAAGCGCTCAGAGGCAGGACCACTGAGCAGCAACCTAGCAACTTTTCAGCAGAGTATCTGGAAGTCTTTCATCAGTGGGGCAGGATTCTGTGACAGTCTTGTGATCCATCCTGCAGGACTACGTAGAAAGCATTCTAAAGACTTATCAGTGAAGGAACTAAGATGAACATTAAAATTCAGATGAAATGGATAAAACAGGGCACTGTATTCACTCCCTAGACAGAAAGAATGATCTGCAGCCTATCTGGCCTGGGCAAGGCTTCACTGAAGGGTCAGTTTAGCTATAGATAGAGCTGGCCACAAGGGGGCGTGTCAGCCCTGCAAGCCCAGAAAAGTGTGGTGGCCCCTTTCCTGCCTGGCCTAAATCTGTACCGCTTTGACCTGGAGACTCCCTGACAGGCCTGGGATGGGTGTGTCTCCAACAGATACAATTGAATATTGGAATCGTAGTGTGACCAAGTAACCTTATGATCCCAAGACTACCAAGCACACTTCTACTAATTCTTTGATCTTCCCTATCTGCTCTAGAGAAAGTAGGGTGTCTATAATAGAAGCACACTCCTGAGAAGCACATATACAAAGTGATTCAGATTCCAATATTCAGTCACATGTGGACCCTCTTGTTCCTAGGACCTTCTCCCTCATGTGCCCATGAGTTGGTTTTCTGAGCTTACAGGATGCAAATCCAGGCAAGGACTGGAGGACTGAGGGACATTCACAGAAGCTGAGGAGGATGGAATGACAAGAGGCCCTGGGGTGACCTACAGGTCTCATTTAGGTGATGATTCTAAATATGCCAGGCCTTTTAATTAAGAAACTCTAAAGACCAGTGTCTAATACCTACTGTGTTTTTGTAGAAGAAATATAGCACCATGTTGGCCAGTCGGGAGTAGCACCAATGTCCATGGACAATTAAGAGTCTCTCCAAATATCGGAATCTTGGCACTGCAAAGTCACTGGCCATCACTGCCTTGAAAGAGAGAAGAATTCCCATTATTGGTGATGCCTCACACAGCATAAGGTCTGTCTTACCTATCCCAAATGCAAGGCAAAATATGGAAGGAAAAATCCAGCTTCAAACACCGTTAAGTGTGACTTGACCACTGTCTCCTTCATCATCTCTTTTAATTAAAAATGTTCAATCTCAATAAATGCTCTCGTCAGGGATATCACTTTACAGGATTCATTTAAGGCTTCAAACATTAGATATGTAACTGATGGGTTTAAAAAGATTTTGTCTTTTTTTTAAAATAAGTCCCTGCTGGGTTTTTTTCTCCTTTATTTATTTTTGATTGGTGATTTATGAATATACATAAAAGTGGAATTCACTGTGGCATATTTATACATGCACATGGTTCCATGCTATCTTTTAACAACCCACAAACTGCAGATGCATGGAATTTTCCCACCTTTCTCCAGCCCTGGATATCATATTCCTCTAAACCACACCATGATCTCAACCCAAAGATCAACCATAGTTGTCCTTTTTGTTTGGCCACCCTGAAAGTACATTTTGCTTTATTTCTCCCCAGAAGAATAAATAGTCATTTTACTGTATTATTTAATAAAAACTGACAAGAAAATATCTGTATATGTTTAGCACACACACACACAAATCCAAATATTTACCATTCCATTATTTGAATCTGCAGATGAAGAACCCGTGGATATGGAGGACCAAGGGTAAATCTATCTTGGGCCTAATCTCAGCAGTTCCCTCACCCTCATCTGACTTCAGTCACTATTTTGCTACTTGTACAATTTTCTTCCTCCAGGAAGTTTAAAAAGAAATAAGTTTGACTTACTTTTGCCTGTTCACAATATCCAGCACAGTACCATGCAAATGGTGGAAGCTCAAGACACATTTGTTGGGGGAGGGTGGGGACCATGGGTGGAATGAAGGAATTTTGGATTGGGGAAAGGGAGGGAGTGTAACGGGGGAATGTGGGTATGAAATATGGTGGAATGAGATGGACATCATTACCCTAAGTATATGTATGAAAACACAAATGGTGTGACTCTAATTTGTGTACAACCAGAGAAATGAAAATTTGTGCTCCGTATATATATTATGAATTGAAAAGAATTCTGCTGTCAAGTATAACAAATTAGAATAAATAAATTTTTAAAAAGAAACATTTGTTGAATGAACAAAATGAATAATTGTTTTAAAACTTTTTCAGCATTTCTCTGTTTTCACGATTTCTAGTAGTGAAGAGCTGACTAGGGCAGTGCCTGTCAATCTTACATGCAGAGAAACTTAACAAGTAAATATCTTTTGTATTAAAGACCCTAATGTTAAGCAAGTGTCTGGGGAGAGGACACAGCTGCCACCACTGCTCCTTTACTCAAGGTAAGCACAAGCCTCCTCTATGGGGATCTCTGACTCAAATCATGTGAGCAGTGATGGAACACCTGAGCCATAGTACATTTGCCTTGAAATGCAGCTTTGGGTAGGTATAACTTCTAGGTAGAGTGTTGCTGAATGCTTCCAGATTTATTTAAGCTACTTACTTATTTTACATACTGATACTGCTTACAGTTTTAAGTGCTCAGTTTACAGGTGAATATGACCCTGTGTCTTGCATTTTAGTCCAGTAAATGAAGGGAAACTATGCTGAAGCCTTGCTGTGGTGGCAGCAGCATCAGGGGTTGGGGTGGAGCCATTGAGGATAAGCAAGGATAAGCAGCAGTGGAGAGGGCAATAGAGATATGCATCTCTGAGATGCTTGGTCTTTGTGGGCTTACTGGTCCACCATATTTGTGGAGCAGCCTCTGCAGCCAAGTCCTGAGTAAGAACTAAGGTTACAGAACAAGCACAACATCTATCATCCTGGCTTTCCTGGAATTTCCAAAATAGCTCTGAGACATTTGCAAAGCCACTTTTATAGAGGGATAAGATTCTGTTTATTGATAGATTTGGGGGTAAGTAGGAGGCCAGAAGGCTGGGGATTCAGGTGGGGTACCTTAGCTCTAAACAGGGTTCCTTCTCTAAAGACAACCTAGAAGTCTATCTTGCAGCCCATGGACCTATTTTGATTTCTGGATGATACTGGGAATTGAGCCTCAGGGTCTTGCACATGCTAGGCAAGGGCTCTACCACTGATTTACACCTCCAGCCCCTTTCTGTCCCTTTTGACAGAGTGTTTAGACTGACTCCACTGAGGACAGGATTGTATCTGATGGACTCTGCATCTTTAAGTCTGTACCTGACAAAAGTGAGGTCTGAATGAATAATTTTTTGAGAGAATGAATAATGGAATAAATGAATTAAAGAACACATAAAGCCTTTTAAACCCTTACATATTGACAGGAAGTGGTATAGAGATATTTGCTTTGAAGTCTTTAAGAATTGGTTTGGATAACTGATGATCTAAGTTTGCGAACTTTTCATTCTTCTATAGTGAGCCTTCCTATTGTGAGATTTGCATATGCAGACTTAAACAACTGGAGACGGAAAATATTTGGGGGAAAAATGCATCTGTGCTGAAAATGTACAGATGTTTTGCTTTCTTGTCATTATTCCCTAAACAATGCAGTATGAACAGCTATTTACTTAGCATTTACATTGTACTAGGTATTAGAAATAAGCTAGAGATGATTAAAGTATGGGAGAGAATTGTGTAGATTATACGCAAATATTACACCATTAATGTAAAAGATTTGGGCATTTGTAGATTTTTGTGTTCACTGGGGATTTTGGAACAAATTCCCCATAGACACCAAGGTGTTTCCAACTAGAGATCTTCCATCTGACTGTTATTTTTACATCAAGAAAGAAAATTAATGATCTCGGCACAGGCCTGGCACATAGTAAGTACTTAATAAATAACTGTGATTTGAATGAATGAATGAGTGAATGATTTAACCAATGAATACATGGTGGCCAACATCCTGATTTTTAGAAAAACATTCAATGAATGGTTTTCAAAAGTCTTCACTGAATTAAAAAATGTTATGATTCAAATTTGATCAGATGCAGGAAATTGTCATAATACTGTATCCAAAAGAAACACATTTTTAATTAACTCATGTGTTCAACTTCTGGAACACTGAGAACTGACATAGTGACAAATGAAAAATGCAGAGCTGCATTTCCATGGAAGTCAAGGTGGCTACCTTCCAATTTTATGGTGACACCAGGTTTCAACAGCACTACAGCAAAGGCCATTTTTCAAATGGTATCACTAGTGTTTGGGAACAGTAAGTGCTTCCTAGGGATGAGCCATCAAGAGCCAGAGAGAAGGCAATGACTCACTTTGCCTCTCTCAGAACCACACTGATTCCCCCAAAATATACTCTGGTAGACACAGGCAGATATGTTTATGGCACGTTGTTTCATAAATACAGAGAGTGACATTCCACCTCATCTTCTCCCTCTGGCTTAGCAGAAGGTGAACATCAGGTGTACTGAAGCCAAATCCCCTAGCTTCATGAGACAGCCCAGGGGAAGTCCGGGGCAGCTCATGGCAAGACAGTATAAGAGGCCAATGGGGGCCACTTGGTGCCTAGGGACAGCCCCAACTGGTCTTTACCTGCATGCCCTCCTGGCCTGATATGCCCACACCCACGTCTGCCACCTGGATCATGCTGACATCATTGGCTCCATCACCTAGAAACAGCACAGGTGGGAAGAATCATTTGAGATGAGATGTGCAGAATCTAGTGGACATGATGGATCTTCTTGGGGTCCCCACTGGACTGAGTCCTGTGAAATAGTATTAGGGAAGATCAGGGAAAAGAGTACAGCACCTTCCCTGGGAGAACTGAGTTAAGCAGTCAGAGCAAACCATAGTAAGACATCTGAACTGCCAGCCACACCAGAAATCAGGCTAGTACCAAATTACCTTCTAATTTAATGTTCCTTTTTCACTGTCAGTTCCTACAGAGCCCTTAATATATATTGGGTACAATGAAAGATGCTATCATTTCATCATTATTATAGTTACTCAACTACTGCAGCCAGGTAGCCAAGGCTACTCCAAGTCATACTCTCCTAAACAGTTTTCAAAACAAAGTGAAGAAGTGTACACCATGCAGCTCTTTTTGCATCTTGATTACCAGTCAGCATATTAACTAATGTGTACACCTTGGGACCCATTTATTTTATCAAGTTGCTGATAGACAAATGTATAGGAACACATGGATAAGTCGGGCCCCTCAACACCTTTAGGAAAGGACAAGCAGGGACATAGAGTAATTATCACTCAGTAACAGTAACCATTCTTGGAACTGGGAAGCAGAACATCCCAAATCACAGCATATATTTCAAGCTATACAAATAATAAAAGGTGCAGATATACAAATTTGGAGTGTTACATAATATGGAAAGTCACCACCACTGTGTCACTGGAGAAGAACCTGGAAGGTTCTCCAGGCCAGTAGAACCTGTAAGGAAAAGATCCATTATATACACAGTCAATCCTTAAGTAAATGATGTAAAGTAGTACAGCCATTTATATCTGATAATGGATTTATTTAATGAAATGCTTGTCTTAGAACAGTCAGCCAGATGAGCTATGGGAATTCTGATCATCATTTGTCTGGGTCCTTAAAACATTGTAGAGCCTTGGACCCCAGCCGCCGCATGGAGACCAGAAACCCCTGCCCTTGTCTCTTCCCTCTTTCTTAGTTGGCCTGGGTTAACACTGATCATGTAGACCCCTCACTTTTTCCAGGACTGCCTGGGACAGGCAGGTCTCTAATGTTCTGTCTCCCAAGAAACAGTGTAAATTCCATCTTCTAAATTAGCACTGTACTACCAACTTCATGACATGTACCTGTACCTACCACTATATTTTGTGGCTTTCCATTGTAAATTTTTATATTTGGAACATGTTTCTCACTTTATCACATAGAGTATGATTTTATAAATGAAAAACAATGAAGAGAAATGCTTTTCCCATGTTATGGTTTTCCAAGGGAGAGTATTAGATAGAAACGAGACTGCTTGGGAGAAAGCAGCTGAATGAGACAGTTGGGGGAGATGGGCCCCTGCCTGGTCAGCCTGGATACTTGCCTATTGCCAGGGTCATGGCCTTCAGCTTGCTTCTGACCAGCTTTACCACCATACTTTTCTGCAGAGGGGTTGACCGACAGCAGAGAACTGAGCGGCACTGCTTGGCGAGGAAAAGAAATTTGTCCTCCAGGTTTTTCTCAAGGGCATAGGCCAAACTTCTTCCATCAATCACAAGGCTTGGGCTGGGGCCAGAGACAGTGGGTGTGGCGGAGGCCAGGTACAGAGGGGAGAATCCCACATTCACAGAGCTTTCGGTCTTCTCAGGGGGCCTGTGGGAACCCCTGGACTGCACGTGGTGCAGACACTGATCCAGCAGGGCTGCACAGGCTTCCTGAAACAGACAGGAGACGGCACCAGTTCACTAGGGACCACACCACAGACCCAAGTCACCTGCCTCAACATATCTGAGCTGATGATCCTTCTAGGACTCCAGACTGGAGTATCTGGCTGCCTAAAAGGCTGCCCTCCAGAAGCTAAGTGCAGCTGAAGAGCATGACTTCCAGCACAGAAGACAGTGCACCAAGTTTCTGTGAGATTGTAGTTTATCACCCATCACACAGTGAAAAGTTCTGAATGGAGTATCTTCACTTGGAGACATTTGGCTGTAATTGTAGCTAGTTAGGGTGAGGATCCCCACCTGCATGTCTCTATACTTCCCTGAGGCCCTTGACTAACTCTTCTTCTTTCCTTCTAAGCTACCAAGAGTTGGATGAAAAGCTCTTTCAAAGCCTTTGTTGTGATTAACCCCTAAATAAATGTAATTATCAGTGTTCTTTCCAATTCCACAAGGAAAAGAAATTTAATAAATCATAATTATTGAGGTTTTTAATTGGCTGTGTCCTTCCAAACCTGGATCTGAATTCGAGAGAGAGGAAGAAAATCTACATTAGGAATCAGGGACAGGAATGGAGCCTCAGAAGGGACGATTACTTCTGGGAATAAACACAATGTGAGGAAGTGCTGAGTGACTCCTGGTCCTCCATAGTGAGCTACTGGCTTAGTGATCAACTCCTGGCAACATACTATGGAAATCCAACTGTGTTCAACCAATGCTATCAAAGACGTATTGTATCCAGAAAACAAAGCAAGACTAAGGAAAACAGAACGAGAAAGGATAGTTAAAGGATAGTTTTTGCCTCTTGGATGAGAATCAAGCAGCTAGTAAAACAAAAACTCATGATTATAGCAAGTCAAAGACGGGCATGTTCAAAACTGATATTGGAGATGTGAAAATTGGAGTTGGGGAAATATGCTTCTAGGATGGATAGAGGGACATGGTGGTAACTAGGGAGGCTTTGAAGAGAATGTAGATGCCATCCTAGCAGCACCTTGAATTCTTGGTCCTAGCACAAAGCACTATTCTAGGCTAAGTCTAGGTAGGATGAAACAAGCACTCCATCTCATCTCTCCCTTGAATGCACTATTATAACTGGACAGAATGCAAAAAGAAACTATTTGTGAACTCTGAAAGTAAAAAAGAAATAGTAGCAATTAGATTGGGGAAAGACTACATGCTAAGGACAGGGAATGGGTATTGGGTTTTCCATCTTTTTTTAAAAATATTTTTTTAGTTGTCAATGGATCTTTATTTTATTTACTTATATGTGGTGCTGAGAATTAAACCCAAGGCCTCACACATGCTAGGCAAGTGCTCTACCACTGAGCCACAATGCCAGCCTGAGTTTTCCATTTTATTTATTTTTTTTTATTTTGGTAATCCCTGCATGGCCCAAGTTACCAGGGAACCTGAAATGGGTATCAAGGATAGAGGACAGAGGACAGCTCCAGGAAAATCCCCCTAGTTCTGGCTTGAGGAGAAAAAAACAAAAGACAAGGAATACCTAATGCTCAGGGAAGATGAAGGCAATCTCCACTTTTATGTGTTTATTTTTCTTCTCTTCTTTCCAACACAGTCTCAGATGATTTTGCCATGGTGCACTGACAGGAATAGCGCTATCAGTGGGACCATCTCCTGTCAAAGACTGAGGGAAATGAGCTTTTCTTTTAGTCACAGAACTGTGGTGTCAAGAGGACATGATAACTTCTGCCTTTATTGTTTCTGACCTATCCTTGGATGCAGGTGGAGGTGTGGGAAATAAGGGGCAGAATAAGGTAGCTCAGACACCAGTCTTCTAGCTCAGGACTGAATATGGGGGTCCCTAGGGAACCAGAAAGTACTGGAAAGACTGTAAAGAGGGATTTGGCTAACTGATCCCATAATGTTGTTTATGAATTCCTGGGTTCATCCATAAGCTGTATACACATGATAATAACCGTAAATGTAACAATGCCTTTGAAAATTAAACTCTGGCATAGACTGCCACCCTAGTTCCAAATTGACCTCTGGAGGGTAAAAATACAGATTCTAAGAGGGATGCTAAGAGCACAACAAAGGCGAAACAAATTTACCACTGTTCAGGTGTTGATCACCTGTTGATCAAACACACATACACACACACACACACACACACAAAAAAAAAAAAGAAAAAACAAACCCCAAAATCTGTATCCTCCATAGAAATTAAAAACAACAAGAGGTTCATAATATAGTATTTAAAACACCCATGATATAATCCAAAGCTTCTCCATGTACAAAGAACCAGGAAAATATCAGATTATGGTAGAAAAAGAAAACAGAAGACAGCAAAGATGCTGAAGTGATCTGACAAGAGCTTGAAAACAGCCATTATAAAAATGTTCCAAGAAGTAAGCATGAATTTTGTGAGGTGAACCGAAAAACACAAACCAACAAAAAACAGAACCATAGACAACATATAGAAAAAAAGAAGTTTTAGAATCCCAAGTGCATTAACCAAAATGAAAAGCTCACTGAATTCTAAACAATTTACCTAGCTTCTCTGCCCTCCAGGAGGCAGGCTGTAAGTCCACACTCCTTAAGGGTGAGTTCTACATAGTGATTTCCTACCCAAGAGCTCAGCATAGAAAAGAGCACAAGAATAAGTTTATAGTGACAAACCTGACAGACACCAAGTCAACATCACAGTGATATCACAGTGATGTGATGTGATGAGATGAAAATGGCACTTTATGTCCTTGCACTTCCCAAACTCCACTCTAGTCAGAGAGAAAACATCAGACACATCCCATTATAGTGACATTCCATAAGATACCTCGCCAGGAGTCTTCAAAACTGCCAACGTCAGCAAAAACAGAGTATAAGAAACTGTCACAGCAAAGAACAGTCAAGGAAGACATGATAAATAAATGTAATATGAGATCCTTGGGGCAGAGAAGGGATGTTAGGCAAAACTAAGGCACTCTGCATGTGGTGTGGACTTCAGTAAGTAATAACAGACTAATATTGGTTCATGAATATAATAAACGTACTACGCTTGTGTAAGTACATCAGAGACAAACTGGGTGTGGTTATGGGTACTCTCTGTAGTCTTTCCAACTTTTCTGTAAATATGAAAACATTCTATATACTAAGCTAATTTTAAAAAAATCACCAAATGGGCTTAGTAGTAGAAAGAAGGTAATAGGAAAATTTCAGTGAATTCAAACATAGATCAATAGGAATTATTCAACCTGGACAACAGAGGAAAAAAATTAAAAAGAAAAAAAAAAAAAAACAAACAAAAGCAAAGAAATCCCCACGACCACTGAGGCCATATCAAAAGACAGAACATTTAGGTCAACCAGGTACCAGAAGAGGAAGACAAAGTACAGAAAAGACATTGAAGAAATAATGGCTGAAAAGACCTCCAACTTGGCAAAAGATCTGAGAAGATAATCGGATCCCAGAGTATAAATCAAAAGCAAATCATGTTGAAACACGTCATAATCAAACTGCTTAAAACAGAAGACAAGGATAAAGTCTAGTAGCAGCTAGGTAAAAACAATTCATTAGTTCAAAGATAACAATGATTCAAATGACTATGATTTCGTTTTAGAAACTATGGCGTCTGGAAAGAGAAATATTTTTCACGTGTTAAAAGAAAAGAACTGCAATTTCAATTTTCTGTATGTAATGAAAATATCCTTCAGGAATAAAGATGAAATAAAGAACGTTCTTCAAACAAAAGGGGGATCGTGCCACAAGGCAACTTGGGAAGCCTTGTTTGTTGACCCCTAATATACAAGAATTGAGCCACCCCTTTTACAACCAAATGTCACTGGCATTTGTAGAAGACACCACAAATGGATCATGCAAGCATTCTTTCCAGGGAACATAACAATCGCCAAGAGAGAACATACTGTGGGTCATTAAAAAGAAAAACAGGCTATTGCATGCCTGTAATCTCAGGGATTCAGGAAGCTGAGACAGGTGGATCACAAGTTTAAGGAAAGTCTGGGCAACTTAGTGAGACCCTGCCTCAAAATAAAAACTAATGAGGGCAGCTGGGGTTGTGGTGAAGTGGTAGAGTGCTTGCCTAGCATGTGTGAGGCACTGGGTTCAATTCTCAGCACCACATATAAATAAATCAATGAATAAACTTAAAGCCCATCGATGTCCAAAAAAAAGATTTACCCCCCCCTCCAAAAAAAGAAAACTAATGAGGGCTGGACATGTAGCTCAGTGATAGAATGTCCCCAGGTTTGATCCCCAGTATGGCAAAAAAATATAATAAAATAAAAAAAAAATAAATTTCAAAAAATCAAAATCGTAAAATGCAAGCCCAACCACAATGGAATTAAACTGGAAATCAATAACAGCAAGATAGGAGGAAATTCTCCAAACCCATTCTCCAAATGAAAAACCAAAAAACATAATGCTTGTAAATAATCCATGAGTCAAACAGGAAGCCCTAAGGAAAAAAAAAATTAAAAAACTGTTTTGAACTGTATGTAAATGAAATCACAGCTCTTTAAAATTGTGAGATGCAGATAAACAGTGCCTACAGAAAAAATTATAACCTATGTTGCTTATATTAGAAAAGAAAAATGTTCTCGAATCAGTAACCAAAGAATTCATTTTGAGAAACTAGAGTAAAATAAAAGCAAAACAAGCAAAAAAAAAAAAAAAAAATAATTTAATGGAAATAACAAAGAGCAGGTATCAATAAAACAGAAAACAGAGAGGGAAATAAATCAATGAAACCAAAACATGTCCTTTGAAAAGGTCAATATAATTGATAGGCTAGTACCAAAATTGACCAAAAGAAAAGAAGCAAATTACCAATATCATAAATTACTGATCCCACAGACATTAAAAGTTAATAGGGTAATGCTATGAACAAGTGACTCTCAGTGTCAGTGTTCTGAGGTCTTGACAGTTGAAGGTCTGGATGTGGAAGTGAGAAAGGAAGGCCGAATCTGTGTGTGAGTCCCAAAGAGACTGTGGGAGCCTTCACCACTCTGAGAAGGCCAGGGAAAAATGAAGCGGATACAGCTCGCTGCTCCATCACAAAACTTGTGAGCCAGCATGAGAACATCCTTCAAGGGGAGCTCAGATGTGGCATGAGGGCCTAGATTGTGACAGTACATGGAGTAGATACTTGCTACATACTTGAGGATTTAAACAGATGTGACCTGACGACAAAAATGTTTAATGCCTGTTGGGGCATCCAGGAGACAGTTAATAATCCCAGGGAAGTCAGTGCTATCCTGACCCCACTTTTACATACATAACCTCATAAAAAAATTTCTGATACTGTCAACATGAGTAGTATGTTGGTAAAAGAGGCTGCACTTTGGATAATGGTCCATCACATTCTACCATTATCCAAAGGACGTGTGTGAAGACATGAATTATTGTGGACATACTTTATATACAACCAGAGATATGAAAAATTGTGTTCTATATGTGTAATAAGAATTGTAATGCATTCCACTGTCATTTATTTAAGAAAAAAAAATCAATAAAAAAAGAGGCTGCACTTTGCACTAGCAAAACTCAGATGTGTATTCCTTTGACGCCAAGAAACTCCAGCAAATGCCACATCTTCCAAGGCAATGACAAGCACATCTTAAGTCCCAGAAACATGACACAGGTGCTAAGAGGGATATATAGTGGGCAAGGGTCCTTCTCACAGTAGCTGACAGAATGGAAGCTTTCCAGGTGGTCTTCCAACAACAGTCCTGTCATGGTGGTCCCACAGGACACGAGGCCATCCCAAGAGGAACAAAGGTTTCCCGAAATCCACCTACCTGGGATTCGGCGTTTAGGGTGATGACTTCTTCATCATGGTCCAGAAGTTTGCAGGCATATGCAATGTTAATGGCTGTTTCTTGTTTGTCACCAGTGAGAACCCAAATTTGTAGGCCTGCTTGACGCAATTTAGTGATAGTTTCAGGGACTCCATCCTGTAGGCGGTCTTCGATTCCTGTGGCACCTGGTCAAATGGGCAATGGTGTGAGTGAGCCCTCTCTTCACATGTCTCCAACTCTTGATGGGATTCAAATCCCACACACCAAATACACCAAAGACAGGTGACAGCACAGTCCCTATTGACTGGGAGCTGCTCGGGCTCAGCTACCAGTTGCATCTGACATCTAATGGCAGGAAGTGCCTTTTGGAAGCACACATTGATGATTCACCACTTCAGGGCAGTGGTGGACACTTGTGATAGCTCTCTTGATATGACTCAGTCAAGAATGTGTAGGAGGAACAAATGAGAGTCACTGAGCATAACTGTGTATACTTACAACAAAGAACCTTGAATTCTTTCTGACTATCAGGCAGCTAACTTGTAACTTTACAGATAGCTTGAAAACAAACCTCATGGTGAGGTGATAGAAATGACCATATTTTGAGGGATTTTTTTGTTTTTTAAGTCTTAGAAATTACCTCTCCCATGGAAAGCTTCTAGTAAATGAAGTTCACATGTTTGTTCTCAATAGTATTAACCATTTTCTATCAAAACAGATGGCAAGGGCAGACACATTATTTAAATCTTGAAACCAACCTTATCCTGAAAAAGAATTTTTTTTTGCACAATCAAAAAATTACAAAAGTACATACAAGAGGAAGTGAGGGGAAGGGGAAAAATAATACAAGGGGGACAAACGAATGTCAGTAGAGGGGGCAGAGAGAGAAGAGGGGAGGGGAGGGGAGGGGAGGGGGGATAGTAGAGGATAGGAAAGGCAGCAGAATACAACAGACACTAGTATGGCAATATGTAAATCAATGGATGTGTAACTGATGTGATTCTGCAATCTGTATATGGGGTAAAAATGGGAGCTCATAACCCACTTGAATCAAATTGTGAAATATGATATATCAAGAACTATGTAATGTTTTGAATAGTCAACAATAAAAAATTAAAAAAAAAAAAAGAAAAAAAAAAAAATTAAGAGGTAGCCTTATTGGTCTCACCATGTTAGGAAAAATATACTATAGGTTGAATATCCCTAACCAGAAAAATATAAAATCCAAAATGCTCTAAACTATAAAACCTTATGAATACTAACATGATGCTACATGGAAAATTCCACACCCATCCTCAATATGACAGGTCACAGCCAAAATGCAGGTGCATTAAAAATAATACATGAGATCATCCTCAGATTATATGCATAAGGCATACAATATAAAAAACATAAATGAATTTCAGTTTTCAGGCTTGGGTCCCATCCCCAAGATATTTCATTATGTATCACACAAGTATTTCAAAATGAAAAATACTTAAAATCCAAAACACTTTGGATTCCAAGATTTTGGATAAGGGATGCAGAAATGTGCTTGGGCCTGCCTCCATTTTTTTCATGTTTTAGCTTTCTTTACTGCATTAGAAGTGAGCAGTAGCCCAAGTACTCCTGGGCTGTAGCCGTGGGTGAGGGCTCTTAGCCATTCCTGCTTCAGTCCTTCATGACACACTGTTCCCTGTGCTGGGACACTACTATGCACTCCATGTCTGTGTCCCCCACCTACCCAGATTCACAAGTTGAAGCACTAATTCCCAATGTGATAGGGTTAAGATATAGAGCCTTTGGAAGGTGATTAGGTTTAGATGAAGTCATGAGGATGCAGTCCCTGATGGCATTATTATCCTATTTTAAAAAGGTACCAGAGAAATCATCTCTCTTTACTATGTGAGGACACAGAGAGAAGGCAGCTGTTTGCAAACCAAAAGAGCCTTCAACAGACAATGGATTTGCTGGTGCCTTGATCTTAGACTTCCAGCCTCCAAGGCTGAAGAAGTAAACATTTGTTTACTTAGACTGGGTGGCTTAAACAATGGTCAAAACAAATTAAGATGTTCTTGCCCTTTCTTCTCCTAGAATGAACAAGTTGGCAGCCATAGGAAAGGGGAAGACAGAATCAAGGTAAAATATACGTAAAAAACAATATTTCTTAAGTATACACTTGGATATACTTTTAAAGAATCACATACTTATGTAACCAGCCCTAAGCTCAGGAACCAGAATGTCACCAGCCCCTCAGAAGCCCCTTGGAGGGAAGTGTGGCTGGTCTTTGCTCTTGCAGCTCAAGTAGTCTATGAAGTAAATCAGATCTGCCTCCCACTCTATGGATGTACTAAAAGTCTAAGTGGGAACTTGCAAAGGGTCCAGAAAGGAAGAAAAGACATTTTACCAAAGCTCTACTCTGATTTGAACCTTAAGAGTTCCCATAGGAAGGAGACCAGGCAGAGTATGGGGCTTAAGACCTGCTGGGGAATGAAGCCACCTATGTTATGCTCTGTGCTCACTGTGAGCATACACCTGGCCACTCAGGCACTAGAAAGGCATTTGGTCTTGGCCTCTCTCCCCACCCCAAGTCCTCTGGGGATCTAGCAGGAGGAAAGAACATGTGTGGCCTGAGTCTCTGAAGGGTCATTCTTTCTGTGATATATTCCTTGACATCCGAAGAAAGAGGGAGGGATGACTTTACTTTCCTCCCTATATCACAGAACCTCATTTATACTTAATGATAAAAATAATGATTATCTAGTAATCATAACAATAGCTAACCATGATGGATTACTGTTAGCTAAGATAATGCTCCTCCTACAGTGCTTGTTATGTATATAACTTGTTAAAGTTTACATACTGAATGTCCCCCAAAGGGCATGTGTCAAAGACATGGTCCCCAGCCCATGGTGCTATGGAAAAGTGGTGGGGCCTTAAAGAGTTTATACCTACTATTAGAAAGGTGTGCTCTTAAAGGGAATACTGAGACCTCAGCCCTTTCTTTCTTTTACTTCTTGGCCACCATTAGGTGAGCAGTGTCCTCTGCCATGCACTCCCACCAAGATGTATTGCTTTGCCACAGGCACAAAGACAATAGGCCAAGCATCCATGGGCTGAAACCTGAAACTATGAGCCAAAATAAACCTTTCTGCCTTCTAAGTTGATTATCTCAGATATTTTGTCACAGCAATGGGGGAAGTGATTAATACATAACTCAATCAGTTTTGTACCCTTCACTAGATCACAACTTCCTGCAGAAAGAGCCTGGTATCCCCCAGCTGCTCAGCCAGGGTGCCTCAGTACAATATCTACCAAGATAGAAAGCAGGGAAGGTCTGTGCAGGTAAACTGCAGTCTTGAAGGAGTTTTCATCTATTCAGGGAAAACCTAACACCTTGAAAATATAAGATCTTTTATTTCAGTAACTAATTGACCTTAGTGAAGGGATTCTTCTTGGGTCACTCCACAGACCTTGCCTATACAATCTGCTGGTTTGAATCAAGCACAGAATAGTATTACAAAGAAAGTAATATATTAGTATTAGAGTTAGAGAAAGTATGCCCACCTGGGCATCACATATGGCTGAGGAAAAAAGGGCAAAGCCCTTTTAGAATGATCTGAAGTCTAGTGTCTTTCTTCAGCATTCCAACGTAGCCTGTTTGCAATATAATTTATGTGACTTTGACTAAATGCCACCTTCTTTACAATCTGACCCTTGGGAGGGCCTGACATTTCTAAGTATTGTAACGTGGGTAATTGGTAGAGTTTGGAGTGAAGTTAGTGCTGTGCAATGCATCACTGTGCTGGGATGTCAGACGGCTTTCAATGAGAAGGGATAGGATGTCACCAACTGGGGAGTTCCAGATGACATTTAGAGAAACTAACAAGAACACCAGGCAAAATGAGCAGAATGTTGTCATTTGGATTTAGGTTCTTGGCCAGAACATTTTGAAAAAGAAAATTTCAGGAACACAGTGTGAATGGTGATCCTTTCTGCTGATGATATTTATTTGTGGTTCTCTGGGGCTATTTAATATGAGCGCTTAAATGAAAAGATTTAGAAAGCAGTATTTTGCTTTGGGATATGAAAAATAAAAATACGTCATTTCACTTTCCTAAAACAATGGAGTTACAACACAGAGCCCATAATTCCCTACCTGTAGATCAAGCTGTGGTGAACAATAAATGGTGGGTGGCTCTTGTTTCTTCCAGGTTGGGCTTCATCACTTAAATATACCAGGTAGTAGAAGATCATAAGTGGTTGGCAACTGGTTTGTGGGAGGGAGGCTGAGCTGTCCAGTTTGCCCATTTCTGTGCTGTAAACACTCCTACTTTGCTTGATTTCAGTCTACCAACATGGCATCAAAAGGCCTTGTGAGGGCTAGGGATGTAGCTCAGTGGTAGAGCACATGCTCTGCATGTTCAATTCCCAGTGCCACAAGTTAAAAAAAAAAAGAAAGAAAAAACTGTGAAATTCTTGAAATTTTATGCAATATAGAAGGAGGTTATTGCAAAATTCTTGAAAATTTACAATGGGCTCTTGTTAGCAGGCAAGAATATGCTCTAGTACACTGTTGATGCCCAATGTAGGCAACACATTGGTTCCTTAACTGACGCATATCAAAGCCATTTTCATATGCTCCTGGAGGAAAGCCATCTGCCTCAGGGCAACAGTAGGACATGATTCAATCATAATTCTGAAAATTTTTGATTATCTAGGACACTGACCTCACCCTAACACAAAGAACTAGAATGGAGGATAAGTATAAAACCCCTCTTTTAGATGTTCACACAATTGCCCAACTAGAATATTAATTATAGAATCCAAATTAGGAAGAAATTTCTCTGAAAAAGGCGTAGATAGATGTTGGGTATAGTGGAATATTATATGAAGTGTGTACATGTATTCATTATATCTAGTGCACATCAGTCCATTTAATATTAAGTATATTTTATATTAGACATAAAGACATATAGATTTCTCAACTCCTCTGCCCAGAGAATGAAGCCAAGTGAATGCAACCTTTCTTTGTTAAATGGAGAAAGAGAAACTCTCTAGGACTTTATGCAAAATGAATGGGATCTAGGATGAAAGGGAATGTCAATGTCATGATGAGCTCTTCCTGAGAACACCTAGAGTAATAAACTCTACCCATACAAGGACTTAGGTGATTTATTCACTAATTTAATAAATATTAAGTTAAAATTAATTATTTCAAATGTTGAAATGAGCGTAAAAATAATAAATATTTTATTGCTAACACTCTCAGTATTTATTAAATATAAATAGGAACACAGGAAATATGAGCACGTTTTAGTAAATATGAGCCCATTATCTTTTCATCTCCAAAGAATCTGTAAAATATTCATAAAATGCAAAGTGCAGCAGTTTCTGGGGCACAACCCTTTCTCTTGTTTTTCCAGGAGGTTGAAATCCTTTCAACCCTCAATTGTCAAAAGACTTGCTGCTCATCTCTCTTTTTGGTGGAAGAGCTGGATCTAGGGGAGGCAAGTTGGCTGCCATCATGGAATGCTGGGTACATATGGGCCCCATGGAAATAGGCCAGTGAACATGTTCATTCAAGGACCATCTAGGCTGGGGGACCCAATGGCATCAAGCCAGGTGGTTCTTTAACCAAGTCCAGAGCATGCAGATCAGCCACTGACTACAGCCAGACCAGCATCCTCTCCAAGACCCTCTCTTCAAATTCAACACTGCTCTGTAGGACAGGCAGATCACAGGCATAATTACCCAATAGATGCAGATTCGTCTCAAGGCGAATGGCAGATTGGAAAAGGAGCTCCTCTCGGTTGTCCACAGATGATTCTGCTTCTAAGTGGCTTTGCAACCAACAGGCATACTCTTCTTTGCTCAGAACCTATGTGAGATACACTGTTGAATGCTGTGTCAGGCACTGCACACATTGAGGCACCCACTTCTGCTTCTTTGCAGAGACAGTTCCCACTCACCCTCTTGGCAATGCACAAGGTACGCAGGCCTTCCATTGCATACAGGTTGAGGTAATTCTGTGTTTTGCTTCGGATCTTGTTTTGATGCTTTCCTCTGGCGTCATCTAGGTCAGAGTAGAAGCAGGAACATGAATAAAAAGGAATGACACCCAGCATAACACCCTGCAGTAAATTCACCCCCCGCCCCCGCAGTCTGCTTCATCACTTTCAAATAATGCGCACAGTTTCATACAGAATTCAAAGAAATAAATCAACTAATTGGTCTCATCAAAATGCATATTAGCTATTTCTAAGATCACTTGTTGAAATGAGAAACTCATGAAAACAAAAACCTCATCAAAAGACATCCAGAATCAATCCTTTGGTCCAGCCTATTAAAGGAAGGTGCCCATTCTAATACTTATGAAAAATGGAAAATTAACAGAAAGTGCAGTCTCTCTCCTCAAAACATACATCGTTGCTAGTTTTACCAAATAAAGTAGAAGACATCCAAATACTGCCTCCTCATGTGAGATGCAGCTGAAATTCAAATATAGCTGAAATTCAAATTTAACTGAATATTCTATATATTTTATTTACTAAATCTGCAACCCTAAATCTTGAGGTCTTGGCCTTGGGGAAGCTTTTCTGCTACTATTCCAAGGGCATCCCATGCTGGACCTAGCAAGAAGCACCCTTATCCCTATATCCTGCATTCTCCTAAAGGGTGACAAATTCTTCAAGGGAGTGCCAACTTGTTCTTGGGAGTTGACAAAATCTCACTTGTGTACAAAACAGATACATGAAACATAAACAGATATACAGCATCTCTGTGGAATTAAAATGTCACAAGAGGTCAATTGTTTTTTAAAAGACTCCTTAATGAGGGGTTGGGATTGTGGCTCAGTGATAGACTGCTTGCCTGGCACGTGTGATGCACTGGGTTTGATCCTCAGCGCATTATAAAAATAAATAAATAAATAAGATGAAGGTATTGTGTCCATCTACAACCCCCCCAAAATATTTTTTTTTTTTTTAAAAAAGACTCCTTAATGAGGTGATAATGAGAATAAAAAGAGTTGCTTTAGATTGCTTTGCTTTAGGGATTTAAATTTCCTGAGAAGATGAAGCTCAAATTTATGTATGTATGTATGTATGTATGTATGTATTTATGTATGTACATATGTACGTATAAGGGGAATGAACTCAGGGGCACTCTACCATTGAGCCACATCCCCAGCCCTATTTTGTATTTTATTTCAAGACAGAGTCTCACTGAGTTGCTTAGCACCTTGCTGTTGGCTGAGGCTGGCTTTGAACTCACGATTCTCTATCTCAGCCTCCTGAGCCACTGGGATTACAGGCGTCTTAGAAGATATGGATAAACCTCTGGTATATTAGCTCTCAGAAGTTGTGGATAACTCTTTCAAGATTCTGATGATTCTTTGAACTTTGAAGTAAAAATAACAAGCCAGGTGAGTGGCACATGTTTATAATCCCAGCAACCTGGGAGGTTCAGGCAGAAGCATTACACGCTTAAGGTCAGCCTAGGCAATTTAGTAAGATCCTGTCTCAACATAAAAACAAAAAGGACTGGGGATGTTACCCCTAGTGATAGAGTGCCATGGATTCAATCCCCAATACCACCCCCCTTGTCACACACAAGATCAGAATAACAATAGAGCACTCTGGTTGTCCCAGGGACAGGGAAGGTGGAGGGATCTCTGGGTAGGTAGAAAAAAGAGCTGAGCAGGGATATAATTTAAGATTAACCACATTTGTCAAAATAAATCTAGAAGAGTAAATAGAGATAGTCCGGACCATTTGGGACCCTGAGTACCTGGGACAAGGGGACACACAATTACCTGCTGGGGCAGGGAAGACAAACACTCAGCCATGCATTGCTAATACAACCCATTCTCTCCCACTGGGTCAGTTTAACCAACACATGCCTCTTGATGAAAGTATCGTAAGCTCTTTGAAGAAAGAGAATGGGTTAAATTCTGTGACATCTTTAATATTTGGAGATGAGGAGAAAGTGTTAAAATGTCCTTCTTTTATGAAAAAATAGTGCTGTAATTTGTATCTTAAGTGTTCCCCAAAGTCCCATGTGGCAGACTGGCATGGTTGGGAGGTGGTAGAAAATTTAAGAGGTGATGTCTAATGGAAGGTCTTTAGGTCACTGGGGGTATGCCCTCAGAAGGAATGTAGTGAGACCCTGACCTTTCTTTTCCCTTTTGGCCCCCTGGCCATGAGGTGAGCAGATATGCTCCACCATGAACTCCTCATAATATTCTGCCTGTTATAGCCCAAAAGCAATAGGGCCAACAAATTGTGGGCTGAAACCTACAACCATGGGCTAAAATAAACCTTTTCTCTTTATAAGTTAATTATTTCAGGTATTTTGTACACTGATGAAAAACTGACTAACACAGATGCTAATTATCAAAAATTAGTGATAAAAGTTTTGTGTTTTGTCTATATTTGAGATTTTTCTGTTCATTTAAAAAACATATACTAGTAGAGAATACAAGAATGGCAACTGCTGTGGCCTCCTCTGTGGAAACTGTTTCCTTGCACAGCTCAACAGGATTCCTAGCTTTCTTTCTAGGACATGACAGGTCTCTCCTACTACCTTTGTCCCACTCTTGTATTCTAGTGCAAGTCCAGACATTCTACCTTAGACACGAGCCATTGTGTGTGTTAGTGTGTGTTAAAGACTGAAGCATGGGGATCCTTTACGTTATCTTTAATGCACAATCACAAAATAGGACAGAAGTGGTCTCGAGTAGCAGAATAAAATCTGCTTGGCCCATCTATGTTTTTTTTCCATGTGAATGCAAACAAGAATCAAACATCAAGCTCTCTGGTCTTGGGCCTAAGTTGTGGCGACATAGCTAAACGCACTAAGAAAGTCGGAATCATCGATAAATATGGGACCCGCTACGGTGCCTCCCTCCGGAAAATGGTGAAGAAAATTGAAATCAGTCAGCACGCCAAGTACACTTGTTCTTTCTGTGGCAAAACCAAGATGAAGAGACAGGCTGTGGGGATCTGGCACTGGGGTTCCTGCATGAAAACAGTGGCTGGTGGAGCCTGGACCTACAATATCACTTCTGCCGTCACAGTCAAGTCTGCAGTCAGAAGGCTGAAGGAATTGAAAGACCAATAGAAAGTTCTACCATATAGCAAAAGTGTGGTTTATTGTTAATTGTATTAACTGGATTTTCTGATGTGAATTGCATTAATATTGCCCTTTCAAAAGATTTGTAAATTGAAACCCTTCTAATTTGAATTGGAAAATTTTGCTGAAATGGATTATTGTAATTCAGGTCTTTTTTCCTCAGTAGTCAGAAGATAATGTCATGAAACTAAGTCTTATGGCTTAGGTATATACTTAGCTTTTTTGTTGTTGTTGTTGTTTTTTAAAAAAACACTGTTCAACTACTCAGAGATACACTGCATAATTGTACACAATTTGTTTTAAAGGTAAAAATGCGCTAAAATACACAAAGGATATAGCTAAAAAAAAAAAACAAAACAGAAAAAAAAAAGAATCAAACATCAGATTGAAGAAGCTTCTTGCCATACAATGTCAGCCCATGAATTGGTTTCTATGCCAACACTACGACAGGACCACCATAAGGCTAGAAAGGCAACATCCTATCGAGAGTTGGTCGTCTAACTATTTTCAGAAACACATTTGCAAATTTAGATCAGATGCCTTTTGAAGGACACAACTCTGTGATGAGGACATGAAATTCCAGTCTGCAAAGATCCTCTAGCATATTTTTAGGCAACAGGGTAGTCCCAGGCTTTGGTATCCAGAGTTCTGTCATAGGACACTGAGATTATGGTTAATAGGGCTGTAGAAGCCAAACTCCAGAAGGACTTTTATAGTGCATAACATTTTACAACACAGGGTACCCAAAGCTGCTTCAGGATATGGAAAACAGCCAGGCTTCAGGGGTCAGGCAACAGAGCCCCTATTAGGTCCCCTCCAGCTGCCAATAGCATCCTTACCTCTACCCTGCTCTTGACCTCCAGAGCTGATCACACTCATCCTCAATCGTTTGAGTAACGGAGGAGGGAGGACTAGGTTAACTGTACAAGTATGGCTCCCTCCTTGCCTCCCAAGTTCAGGAGCATTTCTAGCTGGAAAGATTTATAGCCTCTTTTGCTGGATAAAGTTCCACCCTCCAAAAACCAAAACAGTGGTTTTTAATCCCCATTTTAAGTCAAAAGGGATAAAAGGGACTGACATGGAGCTGCTGCTTAGCCCAAAGTCAGGACACAGGGTAGTGGGAGACAGACCTGCAGCTATACCTCCTTGTCACCCCACATTGTGGCCTGAGACAGCTCCACACATAGGCTGAAAACTGTGGTCTTGACCTCAAAGATGCCCCCAGTCCATAGGGCAGGAGTGTACTTCCCAGGATTTTTAATCTAGAGGTTTCAAATCTTCACTGTTCAGATTTAAAACCTGATGCTCCACAAGAAATCTCCCAACACCACTGCTCTGGAGCAGGGTTGAGGGAGGAATCCAGTCATCAAAGACCCCTAATGCAGTTTAGTCCAAACCTTTAAACTGGGAAATAGTGATTGAAAGAAACCATTAGATTTTCTAATGGGCATTGTTTTAGAAAAAGGATAAATGAAAATTGCATCACCCACAAGACTGGGTTAGGAGATTTCTCAAAAAATTTTCCCAAGAACTGGGTGCAGCAGGGGAAGGGGCTAGTACCTGAGGAGCAGGGCAGCAGGAGATCCATGACTACTGAGTCAGCCCCCTTGGTGTAGACATTGATCTCATCGGTGAGTGGGTGCCGGATCACCACAGACATCCTCTTGCGAATGGAGTCAAAGCCGAGCGTGTGCAGGAGTTCAAAAGTGAGCCTTCCTAGGTGGGGCAGCTCCACTGACACCTGGTCATGTAGCCGATCCACCAGTGCACAGTTGTAGGCCTTGGCTGCATACACCAGTGCTGCCTCGTCTGGGCTCTCGGCCTCAAACCTCAGCTCCTGCTTTGGCTGAGGCTCCTGGGGGCAGTTGGGTTCCCAGCTGTCTGCAGGGGTGCTGTAGCCATTGCTGGCAATGGCTGGTGTGGGCTGGCCCAGCCTCTCCTCCAGCCTCAAAAGCATGCTGTCATTGGACAGAGCGGACATGAAGCTGCACCCTGATTTGTGGCTGGACTTGGTGGTAGCCAGGCTCCCAATGCTGCTGCAGCCAGAGGTCAGGCGGCTGGGCGTGAACCTCCGGAGGAAATCTTCTATTGTCTTCACTGGAGACTTCAGCTCAAACCTTACCCTCACCTTCAAGAGAAGCAGTCAGAAGACAGGTGAAGGGATGATAGTATCCTCTGACTTTGCATAAAAGAATCAGAGAAGTGTGTTCACCATTGCGAGGCATAAAACCTGGCTTTTTTTTTTTTTTTTTGCCAATTATAAAGTCACTTAACAAAGATAATTTATTCCTTTAAATTATGTCCATAAAAATTTAAGTGTACAAATCACATTTCTAAGCCCAAAGAATCTTTTGCAACAAATTAAATATATAGACACTGGGTGTGGTGGTGCATGCATATAATCCCAGCAACTTGGGGGTCTGAGGCAGGGGGCCGGAAAGTTTAAGGCCAGCCTGGGAAACTTAGTAAGACTGTCTCAAAATAAAAAATAAAAAGGTTTGGGGATATAGTTCAGTGGTAGAGTATCCCTGAGTTAAATCCCCAGTGCTATAAATACATAAATACATACTTAGACAAATTCAGGATCTAAATCATTAAAAAATACTTTAACTATAACAATAAGAAATAAAACAAAATGAGATATATAACAAATGTAGATATATATCTAAAATTGTTAAACTTTCCAAAAGTTTAATGATGGAGCAATGAGACCATACTTTAAAGAGCAAATGTTGAAACAACCAAAATATTAAGTTATTATTAAAACTTTGTGATTAAGTAGAGTTGTCCAAAGTTGTGAATTATAGTACTAGCTTCCAGAAAGTCAGGTATTTGGTAAAGCAAGGCAAACAGAACCAGACTATGACAAAGGTGCCTTTTCTTTAGGCCTATGACTTTACTTATTCTTGTTTGTTGATAGGGATTGAATCCACAAGCCTACACTAAGCCTATACTCTTTCACTGAGATACTCCCCCAGGTCACATGTAATGACCTTATGTATGCTACACATTCAGGAGGGGAACGCACACATTCCTTCCACAGCTCCCGATAGCTCCAAATGCTCTTGAAGGTGGCACTCACCAATATGTGGCAACAGAAATGATCTGGAGAAATGTTCATTCTCAGGCTAAGGGTGGGCTAAATATTCCATTCCCTACATAGAACTCATAGCGTGTATAACTTTCAGAATGGCCTCAGTCATGATGGGGTCTCTTACTTACTCAGTAATTGCTACATTGCTTCTGTCTGACAGGCAGGGTCTAACCTTGAAAACAGATACCCCATTCAGGGATGCGCCTGCCAGAAGGCTTTAATGCAGGGTGGTGGAAGATCCTGAAGGCCAGGTAAGGGATGCTGAGAGGCAGCTACATGCTATAGTAGGAAGCAGCTCCTGCCCAGGGCTGGCAGCACAAGCCTGTGGTTTCTGAGTGTCCAGACCTGTCCACTTGGGATCCACTTGGTGCACTGGGGCCTCAGCAGGCTGGCATAGCAGGAATAAGAGCACAGTGGGGTGGCAGCTGCTGTCAGATATGCTATCTCAGCAGAGAGCATGACCCACCCTATTCACCCCACATCACTTGCCAATGGCTCATCAGTGGAGCCTGCTGGAAGGGCTGATCCTGGAGGTTAGGAAGGTATAGGGACAGGTCTATGACACATCCAGCCCTCATACACCTTCCTTTTATCCATTCCAAAGTGCCTAGCTTCTAAATATATACACCCATGCTGACACACAGCCCTCAAGCAACGTGGCCCACCTGCAGGACTTCCTAAGGAGTACTTGGATTATTCAGGATCCCTTCACACATCAAACCTTTCCTGTCTTAAGGGAAAGCCTTAATGTTGGGCCAACCCAAAACTAACTTGGGTACTTCTATTTCCACCACCCTAAGTAACCTGTGATTGATCCTTGACTACTTCTCCTTGAAGGACAATGTTAAACGTCTTTATTAACATTACATAATTTGCTGTGTGCCAAACCCGACTCTGAGCCCTTTCCATAAATCCTCACCACTGCCCCACATCCCAAAAAAGCACAGAGATGGGAACAACACGTCTAAAAGCCTTAAGTAAGGATTGAAGTCCAAGCATGTTGTCCCAAAGTCGGGGTACCCAATCCTTCCTTTCTCCTCTTCTTTGGTAATCTGAGACCTGAGACTCTGGGTAGGTCATATTGGGTAGCCTGCCTTCTGCCCCTGCTCAAGGCCAGGTAGCAGAAGAAGTACCAAGGCAGCTGGAGCCTCCTGAACTCACCTGTCCACCCTATAACAGGGTCCAGGTGGCCACTCTATGCCCTTCCTGTCTGAGGCACAGAAGGTGTCCCTGGCAATGTGTCCTCTCCCACATGGCCTCAGTCCTGACCTGTCCACTGCAGCCTGGGATGACACTACAGAACCAATGCACTGTTTCGCCCTGTGTGAAGCACCCTGCTGCATCTTTCTTAAACCTGAGAGCAGCTCCTTGAAGGAAAGGGAAGCATGCTCACCCTCAGGAAGACTACCAGAAGGGTTTTTGAGAAGATCAAGGGCATCATGTGCTCTTGGGGATACTCCACAACTTGCCTTCTGTCGTGGCTGATCCGGGGATGTGACCACTACTGTATTGCAGATGGTAAGCGCAATGAAGAAATCAAAGACGTCAGACAGCTCTGGAGAAAGTTGGGCCAGAGGGTGCTCCTGGTGCCTTGATATGGCCAGGTACCTGTCACACTCGCTCACCTTCTCTAACAGCTTTGGATCAGGTGTAATATCTTTCTCCTGGGGAGAAAATGGAGACACATGTTGAGTCTGAACCAGTAAACTGCCAAGGATCTTCGTGCTTACCTATTTAAGGAGCCTTGGTTTTATTAAAAGGTATAAACAGAACTCCACCTCACATACACACTTATTTCATTTTATAATTTTACATTATATATAACTTTAATTGTATAAAATGTATCATTTACATATGGAAAAAAATGCATATTCTTATGTATAGTAAATATATATTTCTTATGAAACAATATATCTAAGATATATTATTGCAAAATAACATGTGTCAGCCTAGAAAATTTCAACAAATTTGTATCCTATTATCCCACAAAATATTTACTTTTCAAAAATATGCTTCTGTATTTCCTTGCAGGCTTTTATCTCTATATTTAAATTTCACATAATCAAAATATGTTATAACAAATTGGCAGTTTCCATTTCCACCCAAAACATTATACTATCTGAACTTTTCCATGGCTTTAAGGATTATATAAAAACACATTTTTTAATAACTTCAAAATGGATGGATATACCATCATTTATCTGACCATCTCTTGATCACTGGATATTTTGACTTCTTTTCACCAATTTGCTGATATAAATAACATCTTGATAAACTTCTGCAAACACCAATCTTTGAATCATTAAATTACTAGGTCAGAAAGTTTGAACACTTTTGACATGTGGTGCAGAAATGTTGTCAGGAAAACTTGTTCCAATACAGTTTCCCTTGGGTCTCCCAGAGACCCTTTTGGCATCCCCATGTAAACCCATTGATCGGAGTCCACAATTCTAGGCCACCCCATTTAAGTGGTGGCTTCTATGTGGGCATAGAAGGACATAAAAAATGAAGCAACTCACAATGTATTTTTCCCTCTGTTCTTAAAACATTTCATAAGTGAAAGTATCTTTTGGAATTTGTCTCTGGTTTCTCGAAATTTCCCTGCCTGATGGCGGTGGCCTATAAACGCATGGACAGCTGACAAGGCAAGGAAGAAAATAGTGCCACTCGATTTAGGCTCAAATAATTAACTACTTGAGGGGAGGGGATCGACTTTGCTTTTCCACAGTTGTCATTTTGCTCTGATGTTTTATTCATTTCATTTGGCAGGACAGCTTCTTCTCCATCGCCTTTGGTGGGTGGCTCACCTGGCAATCACCCAGCCATAGACGTATGGCAAAGAGGCTGTGTCAGTGTTTTGGAAAAGATACAACAGTGGGGAGAAGATACTGGCCAGAAAAACTTCTGCTAACTGAGCAGAGCCAAACGACCCAGCAAAAGCTTATTTGTATAATTAAATATAGACACCTTTGGTGATTGAAGAAAATGACAGTGGAAGAAAGCAGGAGGGCAGGCTGGGCATCCTCTCAAAGGGCCATGTGCCCGTGCCTGCACACTCACCATGGGGCTGCTGAAAGCTGTGTGCTTGGACAGCATGCTAGCCCTCTTGGCCTCAGCCCGGCTGCCTGTGCGCCAGTAGGACTTTGTACTCTGACTCCTGTGTAGGATCCGGACACTCTGGTGGCTCCCAATACTGCCACGCTGGGATGAGCCCCCCCTGGGCACCTCCTCCTCTTCTGAGTCTGCCTCCTGGTATCTGGCCAGACGCTGGGCTGTGAGGACAGGAACACAGAGTAAGAAATCATGGGAGCAGTTTGAGCAGGTTTAGCAGACTGAGCCAATTCAGGGCCTTTTAGGTTTCATGAGGATTTCGGCAGGGTGCCCAGAGCACTCAGTACCTTCACTTTCTAAAGGCAAGGCCACATTTAAGGGACTAACCACTGACAGAGGTTAGAGCATATTCTTGTTTATCTGAACTCTCAGGTCAGCCTAAGGAGGCTGATATTCTCAACCCCATTTCTCAGATGAACAGACCAAGCCTCATTTCAGAAAACTTAGGGGCTTGCTAAAGTCACAAGACACAGTCACAGAAGGATGATGGTGGCACCCAGGCCCAAAGGATGACAAAGCCTGGATCCTTTCCAGTATGATACAGTGGTCTACTCACCCAACAAGTCAGGTGTGGGCAGGTCTTCTTTTAGGTAGAACCAAAGTGCACATTGGATTGGGCCAGCAGGTGGCCCGGAGGAAGCAGGGCAGAATGTGCAGGCCTGGCCTGCACAAGAGGACTTAAGGATTTGCCCATCATGCATGGGCTTATAGGGCCCACTTTCCTCACAGGGGCCTTCCAGGCAGATGAGGCATTGTGAATCTTTTGAAATAAATGTATGGGACTTCAGCTGGGATGAGAGCACTCATTGGTGCCAACCTCCTTGTCAAGGACAAGTGGACAGGGTGACCACTGGTGGGAGAAGGTGGGATGGGCAGGTATTCTCTCTGCAGGCAGAAGCCAAGCTCCAAATGCACTAGCTAGAAAATAGACACAATCACACGTCCAGGCTTTGTTCCTATGAAGTGCTGCAGATCAGGGAGGCTTAAACTCCTCCTAAGATCACACACAGGAGGATCACTTACAGACAGGGTGATTGTAATGCTGCACTTGAGCCCTTAGGGGGCACTGTGGAGCAAAGTCCCTGAGGCCATGGGGGCATTTGGTAAGTAGTATGAAGAGTTGCTTGTTAACCAATGATCCTTAACAAATTTCCCTGGTTTTCCCAGTTAGGATGGCTTGCTTCTTCATAGATGAGCAACAAGGAGACTATTCATGAGAATTACCCATTCAAAATAAGCACTTAATTAGAACTTCAAGTGCATGCCGTGCTGGGCAGAACTACAAGGAATCTTTACACGAGGGAGCCTGCTGAGAAGCTGCCCAGAGAAAAGGATGCCCAAGATACTTATCAGCCATGTGGGAAAAGCCTATGTATCGAACACATCTTAAGAGACTTTCCTTTATAGATGAGAAATGGGGAGACAGAAGAGGAAGTCACCTGACCACTATCAGAAGGCTGATACAAGATTCCAGGCAGCAGGGATGTTTGATTCCTCTCAAACATCCTACTGCTCTTAGGTGACACTAATCCCAGTTTGGTGACACTGGACAGCAAGAAAAGGCAAAGCCTGGACACAAGATTATGTCTACTTTCTAGCTAGTGCATTTGGAGCTTGGCTTCTTCCTGCAAAGGGAATACCTGCCCATCCCATCTCCTCCACCACTGGTTACCAGGTATCAGAGTTCAATGTAGCCACCTCTCAGGACTGCCTTCATGCCTCCCAGGATGTGGGGCCAGGGATGGGGCCAATGCTGGTGTGAGATATTTTCTGACTCCAGTGACTTCAATGAGACTTTTGAGGTCCTCATGGAAGAAGAGGGCAAGGTGATTCAGGAACTACCTATCCCTGGGCATGCACAGCCAGTGGCCCCAGGTCATCAAAAAGAAGCACACCCATGGTCTGCATGACCAGTTATGGCATATGAGCTGGGCTCAGTGCTCAAAGGGAAATTTATCTGTATTGATTTACCAGTGAGTGATCAGATCATAGGATTAACTAGCTGAAGGTGCTCTCTGTCCGTCAACTGCTGATCCAGGCACTTCTGTAAAATGTTCTGTGGAGATGCATGGTTGGTTATTTCATTACTCACCAGAAATGCTCTCCTATTTTCTGAAGGCAACAGAACTCTTTAGTTCTGGTAAGCATTTAACAACTGTCAAAATCTTTCTGTGATTTCTCCCCATGGAGCCTCAGGTCCTGACTTTATTAATATTTTCAAAAATATAATATTTTTAATTGACAAATCATAATTATATACATTTACGGGATACAATGTGATGTTTTGATAGATGTATGCAATGTATGCATATCCATCACCTCACCTGCATATCATTTTTAAGGTGAGATGTCTGAAATTTACTTGTAGCTGTTTTGCAGCATACAATACCTAATTATTAACTACACATAGTCACTGCTATGCAATAGATATCAAAACCTGTCCTTTTTATCTGTCTGAAACTGATCTCAATTTCAGAAGGCTGCTGAAGAAAATGCTGCCTGGGAATGAGCTATTCTGCACAAATTTTAGCAGTGAGAGAAGAGGACCAGAAGGGAGGAACAGGGTCTAAGGAAGGGGTAGGGAGGATAGAAGGAGAGTGGAGAAAGTGTGGATAGGTTAATGTATGGAATACCATCACAGACAGTTTATTTTGGGTGGTGAATAAGACATTAAAGTGTATAAGTTCCTCTGCCTTCTGTTTTACTACAATTGCGTTAATTGTATATGGAGGAAGGTAGAGAATATCAAGATAATTCTTGATTTCATAAAAAATCCCAGATTTCTCATCAAATATCTCTAAAGAAGTTTCCTATTAATGCCCAATGGCTGCTCCATCTCCCCTATTCCCCATTTTATACAGGTTTCTTTATGTTATTTGTTGCAGTTATAGGAGGGAAATAAAGTCTTTGTTGCAGATCAGGGTGGCCTCGCTTAGAGGTGCTATGACCCTGAAAAATTATGAGTGCAGGACCAGTTCTCATTGCACCCTCTCCTGCCTGGGGTGGAGACTGCTGGTTTAGTCACACCCTTGGCTTAAGAAGTCGTGGCTCCCCTCAGCCTTCCTTCAGAGACAAAGGAGGCAGCAGAGGATAAGGAAAGGAGAGGTGGGAGGAGGGGCTGTCTGAGCAATCATAATCGGAAGTGAGGCGATTGATTTCTCGCCAGCTCCCACGGACATTTTGTTCCAAGGGAAAGAATGCAGCCTGAATTACCCAATGCCCTTCTAAAAAATCTTTAGCTGATAACAGACAGATGAGTGACAACAGAAACATCTCTTTGTCCCTGGGTGTGACAGAGTGAAATGACTGCATGCCTCAGAAATGAGCTCCTTAAGGGTGCCTTGCCTGCTGCTGCACTTGCCCGACAGAAAATGAGTGCTGAAACATGCCTGCCATTCCACACACTGCAGTGAGCCTGGTAGTGTCAGCCTTTCCTATAAATAGTGCCAGACATCAGGCTCCCGAGGTGCTCTGACAGCCATGTCTTTATGCTTCCTTGAAAATCAGCAATCCCTGAAGCTTGTGTGTGTGTGTCTGTGTGTGTGCGTGTGTGTGTGTTCACACACAGCATTGGATATAGCAGTTTTCTGGTCCAGCCCAAATAGAAAATCCCCCAGACTCACCATTTGCATCATGAGAATATTCTATGCCAGACACTGTGCATCTTCGGAAAACCATTTTATTCTCAGTTAAAGTGCCAGTTTTGTCTGAGAAGATATACTGTATCTGCCCTAAGTCTTCCGTGATGTTCAGAGCCCGACACTGCAGCTGAGAATCTGTCTCTTCATCGTACAACTCTATATCCTGGTTAATGAAGTACACTTGGCAAACTTTAACAATTTCAATGGAAACATATAAGGAAATGGGGATCAAAACCTAGAAGACACAAGGCACACAGGATGAATGACCGTGAGGACATGGAGCTGTAGAATTGGTCTTATCTATTTAAATGACAAATGACTACAACCAGAAGGAAGCAGGGACTATACTGTACCTTTAAGAGCTTAAATAGGTTGGTTTAGAGTCACTATTGGAAAAGGATTAAAGTATTGGCATAGAGTTTAAACTAGGACAGCCTATGATGCAACTGCAGAGCGGAAATCCACTATGGTGTCTGGAAGTGTGACCATGGCTTGGGCAGAAGCAAGCATTTTCGTATTACTAAATTGTGCTCGAGAGAGGCTAGGAAAGGAAAGAAAGGAGAGAGAGAGAGAAAGAAAAAAAATATGGCATAGTCAGAGTCTGCGTAAGCAAAGTCATCTCAAACCATGGCAATCTTTGACCCCCAGGCCTCCCTTGGGCCCCAGGTGATAGGAGCTGCCTGTCTCTCATGGACACAACCCCAGAGTTCAGACAACATCCACCAAAAAATGACATTTTTTTTTCAGAGCCTAGTTTTGTGTTAAAGCACCATTCCTTCAATCTTTTATAATATAGAGTAAAGGGACAAAGGCTTTGCAAGAATTGTTTGCAGTCATATCTTGAAATTTTTAACCAACTTCCTTGAGGTTAGTATTTACTTTTTAGAGTCACAGCATTGAAATAATTTGTATAGGCCCAGAATATCATATTCAGAGTAACATGGTTCTCTGGGTAAATTAATTATGTTAATGAAATGCCAAATATTACCCTACCTCAAGACCAGAACAAATTTTGCATTTATATAAAAGGACTAATTTGGAAAGTTAAATAAGGCTGTTTCCTGTATATGAAGCACAGATGATAAGGGAGAGCAGCGCTTCCCTCCTAGGTGAAGCTAAGTATACATCCTCTGGTTATTCTCTATATTCTCAAAAGGGCTGGTGCTGACTCTTGCTTTCCCTCTCACCCTTTGGAATGCTGGGGACCATCCCTAATCTTTAACTAAAATTTCTAGACATAAAAGACTTTCAGTAACTGGGAGTTGTGAAGGAGGCATGTGAATAATATTAGCAACAACAACAACAAGTACTTATAAATGTGATAACCTGAATTGAACTGAATCCTGGAACAAACAAAAACCACATCAGTGGAAAGATAGGTGAGCTCTGAATGATGCAGTTTGAATTGTGTTCACGGCAAAGTACCCAAGTTATTTTCTTGTCTTTATAATACACTACAATAATATAACATGTTCACATTTTGGAGAACCTATATGATGGAATTATGTGAGCTCTTTATGGGAGCTCTTTATGTTAGTCTTTGCAACTTTTCTGTAAATCTTTAAATTATTTCAAAATAAAATTTATTTTTAAACAAAATAATTTGGGTAGGGGATTGCCTAATATAAGGCCCTGGGTTTCATCCCCAACACTGAAAAGAAAAAAATTGAAAGGAAAAACAATGACATGAAAATGATGACCAACACCAAGATTTCAAAGCAGTAGGAATCTTAAGAAAAACAAAGGAGAACTTTTTAACTTGAAAAATCACCCAAGAATGAGAACCTATAAATAAGTGGAGAAATAAAAAGCAACACGTCAGGCAGATATATTTGTGGTTCTCCCAGATGCAGAAATTATAGGAAATTCTTAGCAGACTATTATGACTTTCAAGTTCTCTTGAGAAAAGTAAAGCAAGTATCATACGATGCTTAGTACTGTTACCTGCAGAACTATTATCATTGTCAAAAATGAGTAAACTGCTGCTGTGACTGGGGATAAAGAACTGCCGTCAGACTCAGGGACATCAAATAATGCTTTCTTATCTTGATACCGCTGTACCCACAATCCATGTCCTGTAGCAACATTCGAAGAGAAACATCATTCATCTGATAGAAAAAGTATGAATACTACTAGTATAAATTAAGCAAAACTTTTAAGATTACAGCACATTTAGGACAGAGGACATAGCACATATGGCTTTATTAGCCTGCCTTGCCATGTAAGAAAGTAAAAACACACAAGTATTTTTGGCATCCTTGATCAGATTTCTGGAAGGAGCTTGAAATTGGACTTATCCTCATACCAAAAGTTTCCTATTGTTGATGTGTAATAGTACCACTGGTCATAATGTAGGAATCATCTGTGTTTAGCAGTGTGAAGCACACAAAAAAGAATTTTGTAGTGTGTGTCTCACAAAAGACTAGTCTCATGAAAAATCAGTGGGCTTTGGATATGCTTCCCATTATTGTTCCTTCTTGGAGATTCAAAGTTCACATTCAGAGAAGCCACAGCAATAGACACGATTTAACCGACTAGGTCCCACACCTATCCGATAACAGAAGTCTTTTTTGTGTTCTATATGCTTATGTCTTTTACCACTGAGCTCTCAGACCATGTCACACCTGTCTCGTGCATGTTGGCAGCTGATCAGGGACAAGGTGAAGGTCCTGTACTGGGGCGTCAACATACTTCCCTACAAGGCTAATGTAAACTACAGCCCCTTCTTGGTATCCAAGTAATGTTTCTTTTTTCCTGTTTTCATGAAGTTCCCATTGTAACATTTGTGCTTCTTTTGCTATTGGCTTTAGTTTATCACCAGCTTTCTGATGCTTCTTTCACAGACTCATTATTACTGCTGCTGTGATGCATCCATTCTTCCATCCAAAGAGTTGTCAATTCAGAAAATAACATTACTCTGCCATCAATCATCTAGGCATCTCAATGTGGCCTGTGCTGATGCAAACAGCCCTTGAGTCCAAATCAGTGAAAAAATGTGTTTTAGAATGCTGGATCAGAATGAGTCAAGGCAGCCCACAGAGCTCGCCTGGAGGCTACTCAGCAGTGCCCATTCATTGGTGATCCATCTAGGAGACTTACCGACCGCTGAAAACAGAGACATACAAACGAGGAGAAGGACACACCAGAGCACGTCGCAGTTCATCTGCCTCTCAAGTTGGCTGCGCTTGTACCGGGGCCCGCTGTTGTTCAGCAGAGCCTTGGTTTCATGTCCTGTTGGGGAAAAGGAAGAAATGTAGTGAACCAATGACTAACAGTTAAAGGACCAGTTGATGTGGATCCCATGGAATGAACCACTATGTTGCCACCCAATTATGCTTATATGACAATCTTGGTCAAAATAGCAGGGTATAAAATTAATCTTGCATATTTAACAATGGTGGGAAAATGAATGGAAATAAATATGCTATAAGGCCAAGAGAGAACACTTTTAGTTGAGGAATTATTAGAACAATTCTTACTTAAGCTCTTTTTGTATCCTAGTTGTCCCAAATTTCCTACAATGGTATATGCTACTCTTCCGGATAAAAATTAGGGAGAAATGTTTGAGAGCATACGGCACCACATGGCAGCACACGATCTAAAGTGCCTATACCTACCTGCATAGATGACGATGCCAACCACTGCTTCTGTATTCCTGATGGTACACCCTCGCAGCAGCAGGTTTTCCTTATACAGTCCAGCCTTCTTCCCATTATCGTGTATGCTATTGATGAATAATTGGCACATGTCATGTAATTGCATACAATTCCCAATCAGCACTAACTTAGGGAAGGAAGGCCCTGGAATAACTGGAAGCTCCAGAAAACCTGAAAGCTGGACAGGTAAAGGGATCAGGTATGGGTGGCTTATCTTAGTGTGCCTCTACAAGAGCTGAGAAAAAGTTATTGTTCACTAGCAACTGGGCATCCAAAAGAGCTGGAAAGCCTGGTTCTTATTTATTTACTTTGTATCTTTTTTTTTTTTTAACTCTAGAAACTGACATAGCTAGAGAAGACCAAATGTGGAAAGCAGAGCAGAGTTGGGAAGCCAGACAAGATTGGCTTTGCTAGGTGGTATATTACCTCCTGCTTCTCAAAGGAAAGGTTACTTCTAATCAGCACCTCATGTCATAAAAAAATACAAATATGCATCTGGAAAAGGGAATGATATTAGTTTGAGCAACAATTTTTTATATTTTCCCCTTATAAAAAATCACAAAGTTATTAGAAATACTAATATATGTAATTTGAAATGTAAGCCCATGAAACAAGCTTCTAAATTGTTTCATTAGTATGTAGATTCAGAAGGGTAATCTAAGCTTAAGCTTCTGGTCTTCAAACTCATCCTCCTGGCTCACCAGTGACCTGTGCTGGATAGGACAGCCCCATGCTAGGACTACATTGGGACAGAAGAATCGCAGGAACCCAATGTACAAGTCTCAAGGGGGGGCCTTAGAGGCTTCCAGAACTACAGCCAAGCACAGTCTAACCTTCCCCAGGCAGTGACACTGAGAGAAGCACCTTCCAAAACACCACCTTTTCAGTAAACTCACCCCTCTGGGTACACCCACAATCAAAATGCCTCCACTGAGGTTCTTGGAAGCTTACCAGAGACCCTTGGAAGTCTTTCCCTTCACCTAACTCCTAGCACGGTACCCAGCTACTAGGGAAATAATCAGAAAAGCTACACAATGCAATCAAAGCTAAAATGCATGCTGGGTGGTTCTTTTGCAAAGCAAATGCAAAGGAACACAGAGGTGGGGGAGATGCTCAATCAACACTGAGCTGAAAGTCCACTTTGGCAACTCTGAGATAGAGTAAAGTTGTACTTTAAAAAGAGATTCAAGACTGAAAACCTCACTGCCAGCTGAAGCATCCAGAAACCAGCCTGTATAAGATGATATTAACTACAAAGAAAGCCCTGCTTCACACTTTCCAAATGAGAGGACACCATAGCCACATTTCTGACATGGATGTCTCTCTAGAAACAGCTGGATATGAAAACAATTTCTCTGAAGTAACAGTAAAGAATGACTCATCTCAAAGCTCCAGTAATGCTTAATAGGAATAAGAGATAAACTCAAAAGAAACAAGAAAAATATCTATTTTAGATAAGCCTTCTTTGACAGCTTTTTAGAAACTACAGTCAATATGGGTTCTCAGCATTTGTAGATTCAACCAACCAGAATGAAAGATATTGAAAAAAAATATTTGACTGTACTGAACATTTTCAGATTTTTCACCATAATTCCCTTAACAATACAGTATAACAACTATTTACATAGCATTTACACTGTATTAGGTTATTATAAGTCATCTAGAGATGATTTAAAGTATACAGGAGAATGCACCCAGGTTATATGCAGATACCATTTTCTATTAGAGACTTCAGCATCTGCAGGTTTTGGTATCAGTGGAGGGTCCTGGAACCAATCCCCTGGAAACTGAGGGACAACCATGCTATGCTTCTAATCAAGCCAGACAGCAACTCATCACCAGGAAGTGCACTGACCTATATAAGAACCACAGCAGGCTGGGGTTGTAGCTCAATGGTAGAGTATTCACCTCGCATGTGGAAGGCACTGGGTTCTATCCTCAGCTCCGTTAAAAAAAAATAATAATAAAATAAGGATATTGTGTTCATCTACAACCAAAAAACATTAAAAACAAACAAACAAACAAACAACAACAACAACAAAACAACCCACAGCTCTTTGTGACCAGCTCATCACAAGTGGAAGGAAGGCTGGAAAACAGCAGTACCCAGGGGAGTCCCAGCACGCAGCCGCGATGCCGTGATGCGAGCACACACAGCAGTGGGGGTGGCAAAGGGCACCTGCCTTAGACTTCTGAAAGGGAGAGTCCCAGATAACAGTGGAACAGACCCAGGGCCATGCAAGCATGAGTCTCAATTCCATGAAGCTGCACACAAGAACGTGAGCCCATCAAGCTATACTCAGCACTTCCTCCTTTGAGATTCAAAGTTCACATTATAGATTCAGAGAAGCAACAGCATGGGCTGAACTGTGTCCTCCCTGAGATTCAGATGTTGAAGTTCCAATTTCCAGGACCTTAGGATATTACTGGAATTTGAAGACAGGGTCTTTAAAACAAGAAATTAAGTTTAAAAAGGGCCATTAGGGCAGGACTTAATCTAATCAGAGTGGTAACCTTAAAAGAAGAGATTAGGGGCAGAAGATGTGGCTGTGCATAAGTGCTTGCCTGATATGCTCAAGGGTTCGATTCCCAGCACCAAACTGGGGTAGAAAAAAAAGACAACATTAGAACAAAGGCACATAGACAGAGGGACAATCATGGGAAGACATAAGGGGCAAAAGGACATCCACAAGCCAAGCAGAGGCATCTCAGGAGAAAGCAACTTGCTGATACATTGGTCTTAGACTTCCAGGCTCTAGATTGCAAGAAAATAAACTTCTGTTGTCAAAGCTGCCCAGTCTGTGGTGATTCGTTATGGCAGCCTTGCCAACTGAATACATCCTTTAACATTTAATCTAAGCTACCTCGAAGAGTTCATCTAGTTCAAGTCCCCAGGCCTCTTAACTCATCAAACCAATCTCTTCTAAATCAAAACTGTCCAGAAGTAAAAATTTATGAGAGTACTGTCTGATGGTACCATGTAGCATGCACTAAAAAGTGCCATATGCAGGATCTTTGGGAAATGGCAAGTTCAGCTAATAAAAGACCTGCTCAGCTTTTCTCTTTTGAAAGATGTTCCATTTCTGGTGACTGCACTTGCTGTTGGGAATGGCTCTTATGTGTCTGAGTCCCAGTATGTGAAGGAAGGTGAGTTCTAGCAATGACCAACATGCTGACAAGCACCTGCAACAGGGTTGGAATCTATCCATTCAGAAACAGGAACACAAGGCATTCCTGTGCCCATATACCTCCCCCCAGGTCTAAGGGTTGCAATATCAAGTGCCAGAACCTTGAAGAGAGTTTTCAGGCTGTGCTTCCCCCAGGGTTATCATCTGCAACACTCAGAGACCTGGGTTTTCCTCTCTGCTTCACCCTGGTTAGTGGCTCCACATCAGCCATAAGGAGCAGAAGGACATCCACAAGCCAAGCAGAGGCACCTCAGGAGAAAGCAACTTGCTGATACATTGGTTGAGGTTGCTGGACCAGCAACCTCAGTGTTATTAATGCCTTGTTTTTCCATCCATTCTACCATCAGCTCTCAATATCAACCTCCTCACTGGCTATTTCTCTAATCCAGGGCCTCCTTCTCACCTAATTCATTGCCCTAATTCAGGTTACCCACATTTTTTTTTCCCCGCTGGAGCCTACAGCACACCATTGCTAGCCTCAACACCATCAGCCTGGGTCCTTCATATCTCACAGTCAGAAGAGCAATTTACCATGACATCTCTGTTGTTTGTACCCCAACAAGCAGGCTCTGGGCTCCTGATGGCATTCAATGCTCACACTAGCCCTATGTGGTTGCAAATGGTTCTGCAGCATCAGGAAGAAAAGCTCAAAACCCTGCTCTGTGGACTCTTAACTTTGGGGTAAAAATGGTAACCAGAAGAGATCAGGGGGGCTCTACTGATATTAGGCAAACAGCTTTGAATCCAAAATCTCCCAAAAGATGAACAAAGTCATCTTATAAAGAAAGAGTGGATTCAACAGGAAGACATGACAAGTATATATGCATCCAAACATCAAAGCACCTAAATATATAAAACAAACATTGATAGTTCTGAAGAGAAAAATAGGCAACTGAATTTATAATGTGAATTGGAAATTTACATCAGATGACCAGACAGCCTCTTTTGCTTCATCCTTTAGGGGAAAATGCAAATGTTTCACTGAGTTGTGGTTTCAAAGATCACTATACAACATGAAGTTGACTGAACACAGTCAAATGGAGTCACCCTAAGCCAAGTCTCCATTCATAAGGGGCATGTATGTGCAGCTGTGATGCCCTGGGGCAGAGCCCTGAAAGAGGTGAAGAATATTTCTATTTCCAGTTTCTAACTGAAGATTTCATATAAAGATCATTTGAAACAACACAGGTCTTTTAAGTGTTCTTAACCCTTTTTTTCTAATAGCATGAGATTTAGTTTACATTCAGTTATTTAAAGTACATAGTTCACTGGAGCTTTTTGTTGCTGTTTTGTAAATTGATAATTGTGCAACTACCACCAGCAGCTAATTTGCGAACATTTTCATCATCCCCAAAAGAAACCAAATACCCATTAGCAGTCACTCCCCATTCCTATTCCACTCCCCTCCTCTCAAGCCCTAACAACCTCTGATCCCCTATCTGTATCTATAAGATTGTCCTACCGCAGATATCTCACATGAGTGGAACCATACACTAAAGCTAGCACAGAGTGGTTGCACGATATATTCTAATTCATGTGGTATTTCACATATTTTCTTTCATTTGTTTCTCAGGTCAGCCTGTGAAGTTGAGGGGGTAGCCAATGTTAACCACAAAATTCAAAGGTGGAGGATCAGAAATGCAGAGTAAATTTCTAAGGTCACCTGCCCCAGCAATGGGGAGAGCTTAACTTCAGACTTGGGTTTTCTTGCTGCTATAAACCCAAACTTAGCTCTGCAAATGGCTAAGATTTTGAGTTTGGATTGGCTGGTCCAAGAAAAGAACAAAACTTGCTGGCATGCCTGTTGAGGAGTTTGCCATCCATGGTTCCCTGGCATGATGAAGTTACTTGCATGTAGCCACTGTCTCACAGAGGCTAAAGGGAGGCCACCCTGAGATGATAACAAACACACAAGCCAGCCAACCAGGAACTGGCTCTGCAGTCTCCATGACAGATCTGCTCCCCAGGTTAGTTCCCTGCTCCTAGCATTATTGGGATGAGTGTGAATCAACCTCCTTTTCTCTGACCTCCTTCTCTTTATCCAGGATAGAACATGGGAATCCAGCATGAGCAGGCCCACTCCCTGCTCAGGACAGCAGTCCTCAGCATGAGGCTGCCCTGCTCCCTTTGCTAATGCCCTGGATCCCTTGACCTCGCTGATCCTCCCTTTGTATTCTTTCTGGATCTGAGCTTCAGCCTTGATGAGGCTGACGGTGTGCCACAGTCACAAGAAAACCTTTCAGACAATGCTATCCATAGGCTCCAAAGACCCTGCCTGAGTTAGTCTGGCTGGAAGAGGGGCCTGTGGGCACACTGTCAATCCTGTGGCAAATCCGAACCACCTCATCTGGTAGAGATAGCAAATCAGTTAAATGGGGTTACATATGCAGAGGTCTGTGCATATGTAGACAGCCATATGTATTTCATTATAGTCAGACAATAGACTAACACAATTCCTGGCCCACATTATTTTGCTCAAACTCTCTGCCCTTCCTAGGCCCAGGCTCTGGGGGACCATCAGGGTAGGTAAACAGGGTAGAAAAACAAAGGGGAAGGCAAGATGATTAGAGAACAGAGCAGAAAGGATTTCGTTCCCTTCTCAGCAGGTCTTTCTCAGGAAATGTACCCATGAGGACAACCATGCTGGTAACACTTAATGTTAGCATTGTTGGAAAAGTCTGACCAGGCCTTTCAGAACAATGTCTGTTCAAAAGACTGTTTCCACAGTGCCCAGGGGAGAGAAACAGGATGGAGATATCAAGACAGCTGAAGGCTGGGTACTGGGTTAATTGAGAAGCCACAAGATACCAGCCTCACTGAGGGCCAGCCCCTCATGCACAGAGATCACACCTAAGGACTCTATGAGCCTGGGTTTTTATTTTTGTTTTGTTTTTTCCTACCTTTTCTCTTTCTAACTCTTCTGTATTTGAGGCCTTCTTTCTGGTGACAACCCTCCTCTTTAAGTCACACTTCTAGAAAGAGTGGTTGAGCAATGTCTCTTCCTCTCCTATATACTGGAGCTATAACTCTCAGACTACTGAAATGACTTAGTTGTCACCTTCCTTAGGCTTTCTGTGGAACCCAGGGTACTGCAGATCTCCTTTCAATGTCGCTGCTGTGCCTCCTCCCCTGGGTATCACCCTTGTGATGGCTTCCCCATCATATCAAGGTGACTGTTCCTAACTTTGGGGATTACTTTGTCTTCATTCCTTTCTTTTCTTTCCTTACTGTCTCATATGGCCTGGCTTCTTCTCTAACTTTGAATATGACCTGTAGGTAGAGGGTCTTCAAATTTTTATCTCTAGCTCCTACCCTGTCCTCAATTCCTGCTATGGTTTGGAGGGAATGTGGGTAATCCCTCATGAATTCAAGTGCATGAAGCCTGACCCCCACTGTGTTGATGTTAAGAGGCAATGGGACCTGTGTAGGGGTGGGGCCTAGAGGGAGGGGATTACTGGCCCCTCCTCAACCTCTGGCTTCCTATCTGGTGATGTGATCTCTCCCTCTCACATACACTCCCACCATGATGCCATCCACCACGAGAGACACAGCCAGAGGGTTCTCACCATAGTCTGCAGCATACTGCACTTACTGTGCTTTAAACAAACCTCTCCATAAGTACCCAGCCTCAGGTATTTCATTATAGTCAGACAACAGACTAACACAATTCCTGACCCATATTATTTTGCTGTCAGCTGATCACTGTGCCTTATGCATTTGCCACATCCTCAAACTCAGGAAACCTCAAACCCATCTTCCTTCTTCCTGTGGTTCTTACACACACACACACACACACACACACACAGATAAGCCATTCTCCCAATCACCTTTTCCACTAATCTCCCTCCTGAAGATCACTTGAGTAACTCAGCTACCTGTACCATCTCCTGACCCTTCTCATCTCTTGCTCCGTATTATTATTTATAATAGTATTTTTAATACAGCAGCCTCAATGATAGTGGTCAGTATTTATTGAACACCTATCATGTTTGAAAACTTTCTGTGTATTAAATTAACTGAACTTTCATTGACACAGGGAATGTCCTAAATTATCCTCATTGTATAGATGAGTGATTGTGGGTGAGTGACTCACCCAGGGTTATCTAGCTAGTAAGTGTGGGCTCCGGAGCCTCGAAGCCTTAGCACCAAAGAGGACTTGTTTAATGCCCAGCTATCTTCAGAAACCCAGTACCTGTTCTAGCTGGCTTGGGCCCGGGGGATTCACAGAGCCTCTGTAAATGGTACCAAGGGCTTGAACTCCTGGGGCAATTGGTTAAGGAAGCCTGGAGAAGACAGCCCAGGAAAGGACAGAGACCAGAAATTCACAGTAGACTGGAACATATGGGTAATTGAGTGTTCTCCCCCAAGATATTGTCGACTATATGTTAAGGTTTGTTCTTAGGAGTTTTACCCCCCTTTAGCTGTTTCCTTTAAGTGATGGCCTAACATTTTCCAAGTTCTGATCCTCAGAGCAATTTCAGTGGGTGACTGAGCCATCACACTTAGCTACAGATGCACTTCACCTTTCACTGTGAAGTCTTCCATGATGCACTAACCCCCAACATCTCTGCATGCCTACTGTGTGTGGGGCACAGTCAGCCATGCTAGATGACTCAGAAATTACAAGATTCAAGTTTATTGAAAGCTCTTGGAGATAGAACCCATTTTCAGAAGCAGAACACCCTGCCCCTCCGTAACTGTAGAGAGGCCACTCTGTACCTGGACCACTAAGCAGTAGCCTGGGCTCAACTGTTAAGTTTGAGCTTGAGAGCAGGAAAGCAGCAGGGAGAAGGCCCCATATCTTCCAGATGGGAGCTAAGTCTGCAGAGTCCACTGATGTACAAAAGGTCAGTGAATCAGGGCAGGTCAAACCTAATGTCCTTTATGTCCTTGTCACCTTCCTCATTCTCTTTGAAATTGTCCCCATAGTTCTAGTCTGTAATTCAGTAACTCCATCCCAAAATGCTGTATTCTCTTCCATTTTCTCTCCCCATACTAACCAACTGGACTATTTATCCACATTTTTACTTTTTCTCCTTTGGAGTAAGAAATGGTGTTGGACTTTGGACGTATTGTATCTACATTTCTTATTTGTGTGTTTTTGTTTATTAATCTTTCTTTTCTCCTAACTTAAATAAAATAAATATGAAGGCAGAATTCTCTGTCTGTTGAGTCACTGTATTATATCCAGAGCACTGGCCAGTGCCTAGCATGTAAGTACTTGTTCAATGACTGACTTACTAAAGGAAGGAATAAGCTCCCAACCAGGTTCCTCCTGCATGGCTCCAGCTGCCATTTTCTGAGTCTACATGTAAGCCATCACACTTCCCTTGTCATGTCCCCTACCTGCTTGGTGCTGACCAGGTAGGAGAAACACTCACACTCATTACAAGGACATTGATAGTTGCTACTGCTGACAGGATCTTATGAACTTGTTCAAAAAGCAGCCCAGAAGGTTCACATGTTGGGTAGCATTCCCACAAGATTATACCATGTGGCAAAGAACATTTAAGACCTATTTTATAACTCTGTGCGTGCATGCGTCCGTGTGTGTGTACTTTACCAAGCAGAATGATAAGCAGAGGAAGATGCACGATACTCACATGCAACCACGAAACCTAGTCAGGTCATTGTTTGGCTTCTCACACTCGATTACACTGGTGAACGTCAAAGGATTGAATTCGGAGACCTAAAATAACAGCACGTACACATTAGAGAAATCTGAGATAAGGCTGCTCAGTTCCAAAAGGCACTTTTATTCTTTCAGTCTTGCGTCCATGGCTGGGAAATCTCATGCTTGAACTCTGCTTAAGAAATCTCTGCAGAATGTCAATGATCATATGCACTTAACCCATGCTTTCTCATTTTTATAATGAATAATAACTCATCATTTTAACCAACCAATTAGTAGATCAGTACTGGTTAATAAGTGAGCCAAGATGATTATGGCTTTAATGCAAAAAAAAAAAAAAAAAGAGAATTTCAGATCACAGCAAAGAAAACCACCAATGATGAAAAGGGATAAATGAGTTGATTTTTTTTTTCTTTTCGTTTTTTCAAGACAGGTCAGCGCCTTCCAAGTTTCTATATATATTTAAGGAAGCAAATGCTATCTAAAAAACAGGAACTCATACTAAAAAATCTTCATGGACCTTTGCTGACATAGATTTAAAGAGCCTATGTGTGAACCAACAGTTCCTTTATTATTCTTCTGCATTAAAAAAAAAAAGACCGTTTGCTAGGTAGATGTGGTGGTACACACCTGTGATTCTAAGTACACAGGAGGCTGATGTAGGAGGATCATAAGTTGGAGGCCAACCTTGTATCATAATTAAAAAAAAAGAGCCGTGGAGGGGTTTCAATGGTAGAGCCCTTTCCTATCTGTATGAGACCCTGAGTTCTATCCCCAGTACTACCCCACCCACCCCAAAATGACAGTTAACTACAAAGAAAATTTTTTAATGTGGAGTTTGCAACTGATAGATGTGAAGAGATCAAAAGTGGAAGGAGAGAAGGGAGGAAGAAAGGAGAGAAATATAGGGAAGGAGTCTTTAGTATAAATAACTTGAGTGTAATTAATGGATTTATTTTTATTAGCCCTCTGGTCAGGCTGTCATAATGTTTTCTCTATCAAGTGTCACATTGTGGTAAAAAAAGGAACTATCTTTGCTCACACAAGCATATCATCAGAAAGAAATTGCCAGGGGCTAACAATCACAGAAAGGATATAAACACTGTTGATATCACTCTAGACAATTATTATTCTACTATGACAATGCATTTTTTCTGCATAGAATACAGCCATAAAGGTAATAATTCAAAACTTACGTAGTACTGTTTTCCAATGTATGTGCATTAAAATGAGGACTCCCCAGGTAATAGTAGCTGAGTGCAATAACTGAAATGCTATTTTATTATTTGTCTACTTTGCAGTGCTGGGAGTGAAGCCCAGGGCCTTGCACATATGAGCAAGCTCTCTACCACTGGGCCATGTCCCCAACACACGAAATGCTGTTTTAAAAGGCTCTTAAAGTTTCATTAGCCATCCGTCCCTTTCTTTGGACTGAAATGGCCTTGCATTGTTTGCAGAGAGAGGCTGTTTCAGAGTCCTGTGTTTATTTAAAGCTGTGTGAATTATCTTGACACTGGTGGACTAATTTTTACAGGGTAGACATTTGCAGATGCAGAGTACAAGATGGCCATGAAGGGAGTGGGCTCCAGAGAACACTAGGGTTATTCTTGGCAGACTAGGAGGGTAGGACTTAAAATATTCTGTCTCTGTTTATTATTCTTTCTCTCTAAGAAAAATGTAATGTACACGGCTCAGAGACAGAAGGACATTCTGTCTCTGGGACTTTCAGAGCCGCATTTGTAATGTTCTTCTATAATCATGTGACTCAGAAGCACACATGGCCAAGGCATGGTCCGGGCCTTGGCTTCATCTGGAATTGCCAAGAATTTTGAGGATTGTTAGAGCTGGAGAGAACTTCAGAGACTGTTAGGCTCAAGCAAACTCCCCTTACCTCCAAAATTCATATGTTGAAGTCCTTACCTCAGTACCTCAGAAAGAGCCTCTAATTGTAAAGACCCCTTTTTGGTAGTAATTTAAGCTAAAGTGAGATCATGAGGGGGGCTCTAATCCATCAGGACTGGTGTCCTTATAAGCAGAAGAGAATACAAACACACAGAGGGATGACCATGTGAAGACCCAGGAAAATGACCCTCCACAGGGAGGAGATGAGCCAAAAAGAGAGGCCTCAGAAGAACCAACCCTGATGTCACCTTGAACTTGGATTTCGAACTTCTGAAATCGTGAGATAATGAATACTTAATGTTTAAGCTGCCCTGTCCGTTGCAACCCTAGCAAACTAATACAGGGATCATCCTTGAGTTTCTCATTTAAAAAAGCATTTCATATCCAAAGCACACATTTTAGATAAGGAAACTTCTATTAACACTGAGTTTTCCCTCACTATAGGCAATATGGTAACACTCCTTCATTTAAGAAGTATACTTATTTATTGTTCCATTTACCTGCCACATTCCAAATCAGCTTCAAGGTCATGCCCTGGTTATTCATCAGCCAAACTTTTGTCTGCCCCCTATCCCACCCTACAGCCTGGACCCTAGTCTAGTCTTCTGTGGTAAACCCACTAGCTTCATTTCTTAAAAAAAAAAAAAATAGGTGTATAATTGGGGAAGATCAAAACACTCTCGAGATGTCTTGTGGTAATGGCTCCAAACTGTGTGAATGAACTTAATGCCACTGATCTACACACTTAAAAATGGTTAACATGGTGCATTTTCTACAATAAAAGAATATGAAAAGCAGATGTAAACAAACATTGAGAATTGATTATGAGAAATGAATTAATGATTAAGTAGAACATAGCCCAGAATTCTGGGACAATTTAGCACAAATATTAAAAAAAAAAAAATGTCTCACACGTAAATCATTCTTCTTCTTGTTTCCTTTCTTTCTCTCTTTCTCCTCCCCTCCCCGAGTTTGAACCGAGGGCCTCACACATGCTAACCATGTGATCTACCACTGAGATACAGCCCCCAGCCTGCATAACTAATTCTTTTTTTTTTTTTTTAGAGAATATTATATAATGTACATGTGTCAAAAAGAGAGAGAGAGAGAGAGAATTTATTTATTTATTTATTTTTTAAAATTTTATTTTAGTTATCGGTGGACACAACATCTTTTATTTTATTTTTATGTGGTGCTGAGGATCGAACCCAGCGCCCCGCACATGCCAGGCGAGCGTGCTACCACTTGAGTCACATCCCCAGCCCAACATAAGTAATTCTTAAGGTCACCACTGTAATATATCATGGTCATCATCATCAAGACAGTTAAGAGGGACTGGGGCTGTAGCTCAGTGGTAGAGTGCTTGCCTAGCATGCGTGAGGTACTGGGTTTAATCCTCAGCAACATAAAAAATAAATAGATTAATAGATAAATAGATAAATAAATAAATAATATTTTCTTAAAAAAAGACAGTTAAGAGTTTTTGATGCCTTGCTAAATACCAGGCATTGTGCTATGTGTGATGCTACTATCTTACAACACTGTTATGAGATTGGTTTTTGCACTACTGATCATTTAGGATCATTAAGAACCATGCCCAAGGCCATGGCAACTTTCAAGTGACTGCCTTAAAGCTTCTCTGGCCTCTGATATATCCAGCTCAGTGGGCTGATGCTCACTGAGAGGATCTTGCTTCCACAGGAAAAGATTATGGCACATCAAATAAGCCAAAAAGTATTCAAGGGATTTTATAGACATTTCCCCCCCAAATTTAAAATGTACCTTAATGTTTTAATGTATTAAAAAATATGTTTCAGTTAAATGTACCCTGGTCCAATTGTTGCTACTCTCTTCCCATATTCATTAATGCCTGTGGTGAAGGGTTAACAAAGCTTACCCAAAATTTGAGTAAAAAATCATCAGTGCTGAGAGATTTAGTCCTGGTTGTTCTGGTTAATAAGTATGAGACTTTAAACAAAACAAAACAAAACAAAAAAAGAGAGAGAGAGAGAGAGAGGAGGGGGCATTTGGAGTTGGATTCCCAATGCCTTTGTAATCCTACAAATCCACAAGCCTCTCTGATGTGAAGTAGTGTTTGTGATGGCTCACTACAGCCGAGACAGCATTACCCACAAGAATGCTGCTCACGCATGCAGGCTCAAATCAAAGCTACTGCCCTCTGCAGCTCAGCCACAGCACACCAAGTATCCAGGACTACATGTAGCTGAGGACAGGAAGACGCACACACTGCAAAGCAAACAGGTTCAAATAAGTGCTTCACTCGTAATACAATGCTTGCAGTTTCTGCTGCTTTCCTCTGAAGTGCCGTTGGATAAATGTATTTATGCTGACCTTATTAGGTGGAATGGGAGAGGTAAGGTGGTGATACAGCAGCAAGTCTTCCAGCTCTGCACTGAACTTGCAATTCTGCTAAAAATTGAAACAGCTTGGAGAGTTGAGTCACTAAAGTGGACCCAAGGATATCCCGAGCCCTGAAGCAGGCTTCCTCTTGATGCTCCATAGTTCCTCCAGGTAGAAAAGGTATCTGGACAGTTGCTGTGTCCCCTGTTCAATCACATGAGGATATACAAGTATAATTCAGCAGTACCTAGACTATTAGTTGGGTGAATGCCAGATTCATAGGGAAGATTCTATCACTAACACTACATAGTCAGACCCTCTGCATCTAGATTCAAACCATCTTAGATTCAGCCATCAGAGGACCAAAAATATTCAGAAAAAAATATTGCGCCTATACTGAACATGTACAAAATGTTTTCTTGTTATTATTCCTTTAAAATAGAATTAGGTCTTATAATTATCTAGGAAAAATTTAAAGTACATGGAAAGATATGCATAGGTTATATGCAAATACCACCCCATTTTATAAGTGGAAGTTAAGCATGTGCAGACTTTGGTATCCTCGGGATGTGGGTGAGGAGATCTTGAAGCCAATTCCCAGTAGTACTGAAGGAAGACTATATTTCACATTTGCATTCATTCAATTCTTAATATTTATCCAATAAAAGCAAAAGTGATTTTTTTCTATCTTAAAACAGAAGCAGTAATATCCAAAAGTAATGTCCATTAAAGCAGATACTATTATTTTTTCTACCATTAAAGAAGTAAAGTAAACCAGTTTACCTGGCTTCAAT